TTGTCATTCACGATTTCCAGACCATCTGTACCCTCCACTCCACTGCAGTGCAGTTGTCTATTTGTTGATGTCTACTCTACAACACGGACACTGAAACATGTCTTCTTGTAGTAAATCATCTGTAAATCATGTTTTTACAATTTGTACAACCGATCCCCCTTACGTTTACCACCCTGTATTTGTATTTTACATTCCTTAGTGTCTTTAGTTTTTTGTGTCGGGGTTTTAGAGCCTTTGTGTAATGTTGACGCTGCCAAAAGCTGATGTGAGATTCTCTCAGGGTTCACTTCTCACATGTAACTGTAATTTTTAAACTTTGACTCTGAGAAAGGTTGACAGCATGAAAACATTTATTCCATAACTACAGTTACATCTGTGGCACTTTACAGTAATAAATGGGTGGTAATATGGTACAAAGTAATACTTACAAGCTATTTTATTAGTATTACAAGCTAGTAATGCTTTTCTAGTAGTTACTAAATACTGAGTTAGTATTTGTAACAGTAATTGTAACACATTGGTCATAAAAGTTGGTGTTGGTCAATTACATGCCAATTTTCTGGTTGTTACTAAATAGTAAGTTAGTATTTGTAACAGTTATTGTAACAAGTCGGTAATAAAAGTTGCTAATGGTCAATTACATGGCAATTTTCTAGTGGTTACTAAATAATAAGTAAGTATTTGTAACAGTAATTGTAATAAGTTAGTAATAAAAATTGGTATTTGTCAGTTACTTGATAATTGTATAGTTGTTACTAAATAATAAGTTAGTAATTGTAATGGTAATTGTAACAAGTTGGTAATAAAAGTTGGTAATGGTCAATTGCAGGCCATTTTCTAGTTGTTACTAAATAATAAGCTCAAATAAAGAAAGACAAATATATATGTGGTGTATTCTATGTTCATCACTAAACTAATGTTTGTCAGATCCATGCTTTATAACAGTGTAACAGTGTTTTGTTCACACAAAATGAACATGTGATGTTGCGTTTTCCAGCCCCAGATTCTATATAACCTCAGTATATTTATCTATACCTTACTAACAACATGGCCCTGCATGTGGGTCTGTATGTAAAAGTAATAGAACAACCAGTAATGATTATAATGCAGTAATGTAGTCATAATTACAATGTAGTTACCCACATTAGTTTGAGGAACTGGTGTTTTCACCTGGTGTGAAATGCAGTAACTGGAAAAACAAGATGGAAAAAAGAAGTTTAAAGTTTCACTACAAATGCAGCCTGAACGTCACACTGCAACCGAGCATTTAAATACATAATAGGTACGAAACAACATAGAAATTACTAAATTAGTATTTTACAGCTCTAATATCATGTAACTTTAGCAAAATTACTTTTGTTTTTGCTAATTGCAATGAACTTGTCATGCTGCCTGTCACAGTTGACTAAAGACAACATTTTCTTTTTTCAACTGAACGATTAAAAGTAGAAATGGAAGGATACAAAACAGAAGTCAGGACACTGCTGGTGGTATCCCCAAGTTAGGACAGCGCTTAGGAAATTCTGTCTAGTTAGGATGCTTCTATAACACTGCTTTCTTATCTGGAGTTAGGATAAGATTATGAACTGTTTTTCTTTAACAGCGTTCTGATTTATTTCTGTAATAAGCCCACAGAAGATCTCTAGATAAAAAGCTTAATGTCAAGCCCTGATAACATCACATTATTTATTTATTTATATTTAGGGCCTTATTTACAAACAGTGAGATGGCATGCATCGTTCACAAAAGTTCCACACAAAGTAATGAGGAACAGTCTTTCTGAACAGTCCTTCCTTAGTGTAGTGTGTTTTCCTCATTGATTTCCATGAGACTTTGCATGAACCAACACCTCACACACACTGTCCATTATTTCTTCAACTCATCCAGTTTCAGTGATTTGGAACTTACATACAGTGTAAATACAGGGGAAGTAAAGGCGCCAAACAGCCTGTCGTGAAAGAACTTAAATGATTAACACTTTTATGTCTGAAACAATTCTCTATTTCTACAGTGTTAGAAGTCAAAATATTTTAGATCAATCTTAAAAAATGTACCACTCTTCAAATTTTAGAATCGCTTGTTATATTAATAACATGTGTAATAACTTAATGTAGATTTGAAAATTATAAAATTGAACCCCAAAGGTATTTTTAGACATTGTAATTCAATAATGTCAGTATATTTTTCTAGTTGTTACTCATTTTAACTTTTTTAACAGCTTCTACTGTCAGAAAAAAAAATGCTGTACAGGTCATTTTTTTCTTCATCGAGGTAGAAGCAAAGTAAATGTACCTCCAAAGGTACAACAACCATTTCATAACCTAATTTTAAAGCAGTTTTACAGCAGTGATATGAAAAGGCTGGAGACAAGACAAGGTTTACAGAGTCAATACAGCTTAAAAAATATAATTTCAGTGGAATGTGGTACAATTATGCTCCCCACCCCTTGAAGGTATCACCCCAATGACAGTTAAGCAGTTTTTTTTTGCTGAGTGTTCATTTTTACATATTAGAATAATTTTATAAATGAGTTGCAACAAACACTTATTACAAACTTTTGAACAGTGGTTCTAAACTTCTGAACTGTAGTGATGAATGTTACCCTTCCTTGTACTGAATACCTCAAAAGATGCTTAGAAATTAAATTATTTAAACCAGCCAAGTAGTTTAAAGCTGAACTATGTATGTTTTGGGGATTTGGAGGGGGTTTTGGGGAATTGCACACAGTGTCCCGAGGAAAATTTTGTAACACTGGTTGTGTTTCGGACCACTTCCCCGAGGGGATGAATCTGATGATTGAGAGTTTTTAAAGAAAACTTGGAGACGGACGTGTCTTCCAAGGATGTGAGTTAATTATCTACTACTGTTATCAGATCTTCATCAGTATAATGGTGCTTTTGCATTTTAGACCTGAAACTTGAGCTGGACCTTCTTTTTGAGCCTGTACATTTGACGTTAATATGCAAAAAACGTACAACATGGTACCAACCCCCAGACCTGGGATCTTCGTTACACTTTACTGTAGCTTATGTTAACTTATTACTTAGTAACAACTAATAAATTAGCATGTAATTTTTCAGTAAGTGCAACTTTAATTTCAGTTAAAACAACATTATTTTACCATAATATTACCATTCTGTTAATGTTACAATTACTAACTGTTATTTAGTAACAACTTGAACATGACCATGTAATTTTTTGCTAAGTACAACTTGTTACCATAATATTACCATATCATCACCCACTTATCTTAACCACAAGTCTGTAAAGTGCTACAGAAAAAACCTCACAGACCTTCCTCAGTCACTGCGTCATCACACCAGGCTCTAAATAACAGCCTTATCAAACTTCTGTCTGCACCGTTTAACAGGCCGCAGTTTTCAGTCGCCCATGTAAATTTTTATGAGCAGTGTTGGGACTGGAAGTTTGACAATCACACCTCACACTAAAAGGATAAACTACAAAAAATCATTTATTGTGTTTCATTTTGGAGGAGAAAAAGTCCACCAGGTTTAATTCTTCCTTCTCAGCCTATGTGAACATTAGCAATGTCGGCAAAGGCCTTGAAAACCACAACCAGCAAAGAGACACATCATATTCTGCATTAACCTTTTAGGGTCCCCAAACTTGAAGAAGATTGTAGAAATATGGTTTAAGCATTTCATGAATCTGCCCTTTTGATTCCATCTTATTGCGAGATTGTATGTGGCTCACATCCGGAGTTATGAGGTTATGAAGAGGTCTTAAGATACAAGTGTGTATTTGGCATATTTGTGTTTCCGTCTACATTTTGTGTGAAACTGACCAATGGACACTCAGGAAATCTGTTGAAGTTGCTGCAGCAGTTTTGGAAAGTAGCGACAAAGATAATTGAGCATTTAGATGTAAAACATATGGGTATCATGTTATAAGCAAGGGCCTTTAAAGGCGAATTTAAGAAGATCCGCAAAGATCGAGAAAATGCCCTCAGACCTCAGAGGGCTAAAGTAAACAACTCCCCAAGCTACATTGGTGGGGGTACTCGTCTGTTTTTTAGGGTTGTTAAGTAAACCTCAGTGATAACAACTGGATGGTGTATATGCCAGTGAATTAATTTTTGTCTTTGAGCAGAGCATTTTTAAATCACGAATTCAACTAAAATTGTCCTACTGTATTGCATTTTACTGTACTGTACTTTACTGTACTCTCCAGTTCAATTTTAGCTTTTAGTCCACTTTTTCGGTCGGTTACCTTGTGAAAAGTGACACAGCACAAGCAGAGGTGATCTGCTGAAGTTGAACTCTTTTCAAATTGATCGAGTGGGAACTCAGGTGAGGATGTTTTGTTGAATTATTTATGCATTTAGGAACCTAGCATGTAGTCTCAGTCATTGTTTACAGTGTCATGTTACTGTTTATGCTTCCGCATAAACAATAACAAATGTGGAAGTGTGAGAATGGTCTCTTTGAAAGTTTCGATGTGTCACGCACATTGTCTTATGAGTGCTGTTAGAACATGTGTAATGCTTGCCTACTGCACTGTTGAATAAATAAAGATGGACAGACAAACAAAAGACTTGTTTTTATTTTTTTGTTCTTTTCAGAGCTGCTTCAGGCTTTCGGTTCCCTAAGCAAGGCAAATAAATATGTTCTGAAGAGATAACCTTTCACTTTTTTGCTTTATCATTACAGGATAATGTTGGAATACTGCAGAAAAATGCCTTCAGTCTAATGTCCACTGCCTGTGTTGTTATTATTTTGGCTGGTGTTGATGAATTGGCCCAGTTTCCTAATCAAATCCACTCAGTTTGTGCTGTCTGGTGAACAAATGTAAGATAGACAGGTTAACATCTAAGCACCATGTGGCTTTATTTCCTTCTGTTCCTCCTACCAATGTGTTGAAGGATTGTACAGCCAGTGAACGTTTAGCCTGTAAACCACCAATAGAATAGACCTGATGTCATGAGCCATATGTAGATGAAATTAATTTTAAGCAAATGTGTATTTAGAGGAAGCACCTTCAGTTTATAAGTTCTTTGATGACAGTCAGCTGGTTGTGTGTGTATGACACAAGTCTACACAACTGTAGAGGCCGTGCAGTCAGCTGTTCCACAAGCTGTGAGACACAGCAGGTTTGTTTGTCGTCCTTCTTTTAACCATTTTAGAGCACTAGATTAAGATGCAATGAGGATGTTAGCAATAGTAATCATCTGAAAAGACTTGCTGAAGAGATTAAATGACTTTAGGATCAAATCCCAGGACGTCCTTGCTAATCAAACATAGATTGTTTATGCTATTCAGTCATTTTAAGTAATATGTTTATGAAAAATGATCTGATTATTGTTCACAGTGGCGATGGATTGCCTTACTTTTCTTCTGCTGAGCCTGGCTATCTCCTCTGCATCATTACCAGTGAGTGTACTGAATGAAACAGTTTGACTATATATGTAATGTATTTTACTATAAATTATGGTTTGTTATTGCTTAGTGGATGTTTTGGATGTTTAATAAGTGAACTTTGTCTTCCTTCTCTGCAGTCTCCACCGACAGTAGTAGGTAAGCTTATGAGAATGAAGATTTGTCAGCTAGACAAACACATTTAGGAGTAAACATTTACTTCTGCATGACGTGCGTCATTTAAGGGATCACGTCCTCACTTTGCGCCACGCTTTTAGTGTGTTATAATGTTCTGATAACCTTTTATCTCAGTTCCTACAATGCGTCAAAAAGATAAAACATACAAAACATGAGTGATATGACTAAAAAACGGTAATGGCGTAAGGTTAGATCAGTGTTTGTGCAGGCAGCCCTCGTCTGGATTAGCTTTCGTAGTAAATAAATAGAAAAATACATTTATTTAAATTAAGAAGCAGGGTCGGGATGTAACGGAATGCTAGTATTGGAATATATATTCCCGAATACAGAAATTACGTATCTGTGTTACGATACATGTTGAAAAGACAGTTTTCAGAATACAGTTACTTTTTACATTTTTAGAAAAATTCTTTCAGAATACTCAAATTTTGGAACTTTGTTTAAATGATAAGCAGATTTTTCATTTAACATTAGCAGAAGAATTACATGAAGAAAACCTCCAACCAGTAACAGAATATGAATATGAATTAAGGAAAAATTACTTAAAAAACAAAAATTTAATTAGAATTAAATTTTAAAAAATAAAAAAATTGTGCCTTATCAATATATGTACTAAATGTACATTCTGAATGTAAGTTCAGAAGTTGTACATTCAAATTGATTTCCACTTGAATTATCTACACTATCAGTTTTCAAATGTCAGTTTTTTCTAGTAATTGCTGGTCACCTGTAGATGTTGATGATGACAGGAAGGACATCTCTGAAATAAACGCAGGTAAGTCTACTTTACCAAAAAGACACAGCATGTCTGACACCATTCAAAAAGTGTTCCTATGAATATATAGAAAACTCTGTAAATACATTTATACACTTTTATGTTCCATGCATAACACTTTCTAATGAATGTAGTGTGAAAGTGCTCTCTAAGGTGCCTTTCCATACATTGCTATGAGATGTGGACTAGTTAAACCTCACTTCTATCTGTATATTGTTACATAAATATATATGTAAGTTTGTACAGTTTTCTTGACAAACCAAATGTTTATGTTTATGCATATAAACCTTTGGGTGACTGTATTTTAAGGAACACATGTTTGGGGTTATTTAAGGTCTTGTTCTTTATTCTGTTCCTAATTGGGCACTTCTAAGTATTTCTTAAGCCATGCACTTAGCTATTACTTATGACCTGCATTGGCATATAACTGTAAGTCAGTTACATGAAAATCCTTAATTACAGTAGTAATAATTAAGCAATAGAACACGAGAGGGAGTGCGCAAAATATCATCACAGCCATTGTTTTTATACAACAGTTAAATAAATAAAGTAAGACATACGCAGCATTTAATATGTTTTAATGTTAGCAATTCCTTCCGCCAAATTCTAGTTCCTTAACAAGCAGCATGTTGCTACGTCAGATTAACGAACTCTCACTCGCTGCACAGCTGGCAGTTCGTTCTCCAGCTCCTTACGCTAAATTCCCAAACTGTCATCACCACTGAGCAGCTTTTCAGTCGGCAGCTGTGACAGAAGAACACCTAAACAACATGGAATCAGCCAGAAATGAACCGAATACCATTCGCCAAACTTGTAGTCTGATCTTCAGAGTCTGACCAAATCAGACTGAGCCATAAAACTGCCACAATATCAGGTTTAGCTCGGTTTTGTCTTTTTTTGCTAGGTCAATAATAATGTTGTTTTGTTCCAGCCAGTCTGTAAAGCATCTTACAGCCCATTTTTGTTTAGCGAATGGTATTCAGTTAATTTAGTGTAGTCTCATCTTCAGAGACTGACCAAATCGGCTGTCGGTCAAATGTGATCTTAAAAGTATCCATTTTCTGTTTGTGGCAAAGTAAGAAGTAAAAACGTTGAAATGTCTTGAGCGTCTCCTACAGCTGTCAAAGTTGTTGCTTAGCAATGGCGTCTCAGCGGAGTGATACAGTGTTTGTGAAAAAATTTTGTTATGGCAAAATAACAGCACAGTTAGAACGCTTCTCAACCAATCAGCTTGCAAGGCCGGAACTAACTGTTACATAATGCACAACAGACACTCTGTTAAGACATTATTATGCATATTATTGAGCAAGAATTTAAATTCACATCTTACTAGTTTGAAGTTTTGATTCTATAATATACTAATACTTCAAGATGTGGTCCATATTCCAAAGTGCAGTTTCGTTCATCACTAATGTGTGTGTAAACATGTTTTATATAACTTAGATTTTATACATACATTCTAAAATGTTTCATTGTTATTATTATTAATAGTATAATAATAATAATAATAATAATAATAATAATAATTAGTTTTATTGGCCGAGTGTGCGTGTGCTTGCACTTGTCTCTGGGTTACAGTGCTCATGAACAGTGCATTTGACACAGTGCTTATGTATAACAAAACATTATTGGCACTAACACACTGTAACTAGAATTTGCAACTACAATTAAGACAAAAATATTGCACGGCATAATAATAAAAATACAAATATTTTATTTTTACTAAACATTTTGCCCTGACCCGAACAGGCCATTATTTATCCAAAATATGCCACTGCAAGCAAAATAAGCCCTGAGTACTTATTCAAAAATAATTCTAAATAAAAGTAAATTCTTTCAGGTTTTTTTTTTTTAACTGCCTATTTGCATGAACTAGACACCAGACATCTTTTCTTTTTGTGTAACCACAGGCCCATAGAATGTTGTTGGGGGAAAGGGGGTCAGAACACACACTACATTGCAGTGCATGCTGGGGACTGTTGTGCATCTCAGGGTGAAACAGGCTAATAAGAGTAGAGAATTCAAAGATTTTTGCGGGCTTAACTGGACTGCGTCACAGGCCTGACTTGGCCTGCGGGCTTTATGTTTTACACATAGGTTTACAGGAATGATGTGTGACCATTTATTTTATTTCCAGGTTTAAACCGTACGGAAGGAGATGTCATGCAGGTTAGTCTCATCAGAGAATATTCCATGATGCATTGCTTTATATTAAAATATATTATGAATGGCCACTGTCTCACATGTTTGAAACATCTTAGCACAATTCTGGACAAAGGAGTGTGACTCTGGGGAACGAGTACCGGTGGGACAGATACATCCCTTACGTGCTGAACAAAAGCCTGAGTAAGAACATTAGTTGATTAGTGATAATGATTCTCATTTTGTTTTGCTCGAGCACCAGAGTGATTTTTCTGAATGGCTGCTGTTTCAGGCCTGAACGACAAAGGAGTCATTTTAAGAGCCTTCGAGCAGCTGAGACTGAAAGCGTGTATTGACTTTAAACCCCGGACAACAGAGAAAGACTACATCTCTGTGGAATCGCTAGACGGGTACAGTGAATTCTCAATGAAATCTCTTCAATGCATGCAGTAGGTTTATTTTACCTTATTATGATTACTTCATAACTTATATCTGAAATCACAGCTGTAGTTGAACTTGAATTGTCTTACTTAGTCAGCTAAAAAAACAATAAAAATAAATACATAAATTAATAATAATAATTGCATAAGCAAATAAGTAAAACAACACAACAGCACCAAAGATTACTTAAATAAATAAATAATACTCTAGTAGAGAACACACACACACACACACACACGTTGTGACTGCACTCTAGTTAGTTGGAAAAACTGAGCAGAAATAATGACTACAGCAATTCAATTTCATGTGTACATGTACATAAACCTGACATACGGTGGACTCTTTTTGCGCACTTTATTGTGTTGTGGATTTGATTTTGAGTGGATACGATTGCCATTTTTAGTCATCGATCTATACTTAATCATCAATAATGCTGATAACATGCTTTTAGAGTATTTTGAAAATTATTTAAAACTAAAAACTGAAATCTTTTATCGATAAAAGTATTCAGACACTTTATTCGGTACTTAGTAGAAGCAACTTCGGCAGCAATTAGAGCTACAAGTCTTCTTAAAGCTTGTGTTTGCAAGCTTTTTTTGGATTTGGGCATGTTCAGGTGTGTGGGACTGTGAGTAATAATGGACCTGACTAACATCCTCCCTGAATGGGGTGCCAAAAAGCCTTGGAAATAGGTTGATCTTGTGATAGTCTATGTTATTATACAACAAATAATACGGAACTGCATTTTCCATGGTCATCTTTTAAGTTCGGCTTATCTACCTGTTGTTTCCCGTTCGCCCCCAGCCCTCAAACACAGAAGTGGTTTGATCCTCCAGTTCCCACATCTATAGTGTGTCTTCTCCATTGTTGGCTATAGATGGCACTAAGTGGCTGTTCCTGTTCAGCTGTTCTGATCTGGTTAAATGACACCAAAATCAGGATTTCACAAAGTAAAAGAGCGGAGAGAGACAGAGAGAACAGGCAAATTCTGACCTGTTTCTTTCTTTGGCTTAAAATGCCAAACTGTAAATGTGTTGTAGTAACGTGAGCTAAAGTTAGCTAGCAAGCGATTCGCTTCTTTTGCAGTCAGCACAAGCTGATAAACAAGCATAGGATTTTATTTAATGCAGCAAGTAAGATGTTTTTAAAATAGCTGATGTAACAGACAGTGTTTTTGCAATGATAACCCAATGAAGTTTCAGCCCAGTAGCTAACCTGTAAAACACACACTGTTAGTTCTTGAGGCGGTCACTGAGGGAGAGAGAGCAGCACTTTTCATTTTCAGTTTCATTGAAAACGACAGTAAGTATATTTAAATATTTTTTAAAAGTTGAATTTCCCTTTTAAATACATTGATTCTTTTGAAAAGAGACCAAGTTTAAGTCTAATTCTTAACGAACTACAGCAAGATTCATGATTCAAAGCACACTTACATTTTTGTCAGCTGTTTAACCCTGAAATGCCAACCAAACAACCTCATAAAGAAATACAGCATAATGTCACGTTAGGCAGACGAACCAGACGCTTGTGGGAGTAAAATGAGTGAGGTTTATTGACAACAGGGCAAAGCAAGGGGTAGTTAGTAAACCAGGCCAGGTCAGAATGAAGAGAGTAACAAACAAGTACATCAGGAAACCAAGATCTGAGTTCATAAACAAGCAAAGGGCAGCAGCCAGAGAAACAAACACCAAAACCATCGAAGTACAAAGGAAAGTCCGACAGGGCCAAAAAGGGTCAAAAACAGAGGAGGCAAAAAGAAAGAACACTCAGTACACAACAGACAAGGCAATTGGCAATACTTCGCAATGAGTGAACAAAATGAACTGGTATATATACAAACAGAACTAATGAGAACAGCTGAGAATGATTAGAATTCAGGAGAAGAGGATCTTGGTTTCTTGTTTTGATACTCTATGTTATTATAATACAGAACAGCATTTTCCATGGTCATCTTTTAAGTTCTGCTTATCTCCCTGTTGTTTCCCCGTTATCCCCCAGCCCTCAAACACAGAAGTGGTTTGATCCTCCAACTCCCACGTCTATAGTGTGACTTCTCCATTGTTGGCTATAGATGGCAGTAAGGGCTGTTCCTGTTCAGCTGTTCTGATCTGGTTAAATGACACCAAAATCAGGATTTCACAAAATAAAGAGCAAAGCGAGACAGAGAGAACGCAGCGGGAGGGCAGGCAAATTCATTTACATGGTTATTATTCTTCTATTTAACGGATTATTTACAGGAATTCCCACCTCGTTCAATCGGATAGAAACTCTGCTCTGAATGCCCTCAATCGGACTCGTCCTTTCCGATTGAGGTGTTTACATGGAGGTATTCTATTCTGTTTGAGCTATTAGTCAGATTATTAACAGATTATCAGGCTGCATGTAAACGTGGCTAGTGTTTCTGCTACAATAACCCAATGAAGTTAGCTTCAGCCCAGCACCTAACCTGTAAAATGCACCCTGATAGTTCCAGAGGTGGTCTCTGAGGGAGAGAGAGCAACACTTCCTGTTCTGAACTGAAGTTCTGAGACAAGTAGCGCATACTATATAAGGTAGCTAATAAGTAACTTCCAAGTAACCATTTGTTGAGCAGTTTCATTGAAAACGACAGTAAGTATATTTAAATATTTTTTAAAAGTTGAATTTCCCTGTAATTACATTGATTCTTTTGAAAAGAGACCAAGTTTAAGGCTAATTCTTAACGAACTACAGCAAGATTCATGATTCAAAGCACACTTACATTTTTGTCAGCTGTTTAACCCTTAAACGCCTACCAACCAACCTCATAAAGAAATACAGCATAACGTCACGGTAGGCAGACGAACCAGACGCTTGTGGGAGTAAAACGAGTGAGGTTTATTGACAACAAGGCAAAGCAAGGGGTAGTTAGTAAACCAGGCCAGGTCAGAACAAGCAGGAAAGAGCAACAAACAGGTGGGTCATTCTCCATTTGGAGTGGGAAACCATGTCACAAAGGTTGCAGGGCTTAAAAAGATGCTTAAAATATTAGGGACAGCTCCAGAAATTGGTATGTACATTTACACAGTCGACCTAAGATTAAATAACAACTTTCCCTTATGATATTTCTCTTTTTTATCCTGTTCCATGGTCGCTCTGCATCTGTAAAACAGCTCGTCACAAAACCAAGTTTCAACATTTGAGAAAACATTTTTAATACAAAACCATGTTTTTAAGCAGTTTAACTTGGGAATTTGTATTAAAGAGATTCATGCTTACTTTTATATCATTAATGAAATACTACATTTAAAAATTTGTATTTAAAAAAAAAAAAAAATCATTTGTCACAGAGATTTTGGTCACTGGTATTATCAGGACTGTTACATTTTAACACAGTAACTGCTTTTTGGGTTGAGGCTCATCAAAGAGGAAGCACCTCAAGGCATGAGAAGGCGAGTCTCACTTGCTCACTATATTTCATCAATTTATTAATAATTTTGCTTATCAGGCAGCACAGAACTTCTATGTGTCACTGGTGTTAGGTGATTTAATAGCTGGGTAATTATGGTTTTGTCAAAATAATGCCATATTATCATTTTTATTACTGATTTTAAATAGTTGCACAAGGTCACCTGACCACCAATGAGTCAGCCAATTTACAAAATCCTCAGTTTTAACCAGAATGTCACTGGTGTTACACCATATTCATATAACACCAGTGACTGTAAAATATGTTTGGAATTAAGCTCCTTTTTGCATATATGATAATATATGTTGTTGTTATAGTACTGACAATATAATATATAATACAGGTTGTTAATGGATACTTAGATGTTAATGGACATATTAACATTATTTAGTTTTGAGATGAAAGAAACTTTTAAAAAATGTGTCCACCTGAATTCCCACTCCAAATGGAGAATGACCCAGGTACTTCAGGAAACCGAGATCTGAGTCCATAAACAAGCAAGGGTCAGCAGCCAGAGAAACAAACACCAAAACTATCGAAGTACAAAGGAAAGTCCGACAGGGTAAGAAAGGGCCAAAAAGGGTACAAAACTCAGGAGGCAAAAACAGAAAGGACGCTCAGTACACAACAGACAAGGCAACTGGCAATATTTCGCAATGAGTGAACAATATGAACCGGTATATATTCACACAGAACTAATGAGCAAGTGAGAGTGATTAGAATTCAGGAGAAGAGGATCTGTGTAACTGTCCACGATTGGTTGGATTACGTTCAGACCCTTTGATGAAATTTGCTGTTTTTTTATAGGTTTGAAGAGAGAGATTTCTGAAGAATCCCCTTATCCCCAGCAGTAGCTCTTTTATTTAACCAGTCTATTGACATTTTAGTAATTGCATTTTCATTGTCAGAACGAAGATCTGCAGCATTTTGCCCAAGATACTTAATCAGGTTTTTACCCTGGTTTTACATACATTTACATTCTTCAGCAGCGAGCTGATCTGGCAGTAAACTCTTTATTCTTGTTTTCAAAATCATACTTGCCAGAATATAATGCTAAAGTGAGCTAACATTATCTAACAGTTCCAAAACATGAAACGAAAGCGCAGTTTCATGAGTGGTATAGTTGATTTCATTTTCGCATGTATTATTTCTTTCTTCAATAGTTTTTGAATGATGGGTGCAAAATGTTATTGTGTGGAAATTACCATTATTGGTAACAAAGAAAATCAGCCCTCACTTAGTTTTCATGTGAAATGAATATATTTTGAACTCGTACTACACATTCATTTCTGTGGGCTACTGAAACTAGATTAGGGAGCGTCTACACATTATAATCAAAGTCCAAAAGCGACTCACCAACATGAAATGTTACAGACTAGTAAAGGCCTGTAGCAGATAGAACACAAATGATGGTCAGTCGGTATTGTTGATGAAGGGTCTCAAAGTTTATATTTTGACTGAAGTATGGTAAGCAACAGATTTTCAAGAAATGAGGCAAAAACACAGGAGCACAGTATAGTGCAGTATAGTATAGCTTAAACCTTCATTGCATTTGCATAGCTTTCATGAATTGCTCAACTTAGATTTGGCCATTTCTCTAACTATGAGATCAGTGATTATCAGTGCAAGGCACAATAGCTGCCCATGTCCCACCTTCCCTGTAGTCCTACATCACACCTTGTTTGAATACCCAGTTTTCAAATAGACATACACATAGCACACATGAAGTGTGCACAAGTTAGTCACCTATAATCACCTATAATTGTTTCAAAACAGTGTAGTCTTTCTGTTTGCCTTGAGTTCAAGTAAATTCTTGTTGAAGAAGTCTTGTTGGCAAGTTTTCTCTTGTTTTTATGTAAGTATATGGCTTTAAAAACAAAAGTAATCCAAAAGTAATGCAAAGGAATATATGAACCCAATTCCAAAAAAGTTGGGACGCTGTGTAAAATGTAAATAGAGGTAAATAAAAAGATTTGCAAATCTCATAGACCCATATTTTATTCACAATAGAACACAGAACACATATCAGATGTTGAAAGTGAGACATTTTAGCATTTCATGAAAAATTAACTTCATTACCATCACCATTTCATTAAATTAACTCATTTAGAACTTGATAGTGACGCATCTCAAAAAAGTTGGGACTTTATTATAGTAATTCTTTGGATTAGGTTACAATTACATTTATTACCAGGTAATCAGTAATTGGTACCGGAATAGATTTCTACATGTAACCCTCCCAACCCTGCTAATAACCAGCTTCTTAGCTATGTAAAAATGTCTTTTAAAAATGATTTTTGTAATTCATGATGAGCAGTTTTTTAAGTTTTGGTGTGCTGAAGACTTTCAATTAATAGTGCAGTCTTTCTGATTTTACAGGTGTTGGTCCTATGTTGGGAAGATAGGTGGGCAGCAGCAGATGTCCATTGGACCTGGGTGTGGACACATCAGCACTGTGGAGCGCGGGTTTCTTCATACTCTGGGCTTCTTTCACGAACAGAGCCGATATGATCGGGACAACTACGTAACCATCATTTATGGAAACATCATTGCAGGTTTAACATGTCTTTACTGTTTTTTTTGTCCTCTAAGAACCAAACATGGGTTTTCTGCAGAATAGAGCATGAATGCACCACAGTTTACCATGTAATACAAGCTTTACTTAATCTATAAATATCGCACATTTCTGTGGGTTTTCAGGAATGGAGCATAACTTTGATAAGGTGCCTGAGAATGAAAGCACCATACAGGGAACTCCATATGATTACATGTCTTTGATGCACTACGGACAAGATGCTTTCACCAATGGGAAGGGACACACCATCATCACCAAAGACCCTTGGTTCCAAGATGTTATTGGTCAGAACTATGACCTGAGCCCTACAGATGCATTGGAGCTCAACAAGCTCTATGAATGCAGTATGTATTTTTTTTTAACTTTGTATTAACTTCGCCTTTCCTCTCACCACAGCTGGGTTATGAATATATAGTTTGTCCAAGGTGCAGAGCTATATTTAAATCAAGAAAGTAGCAGGCAACAGCGCAAAAGACAATTATACGAATAAAAACTGATAAACTATACAAACACTATAGAAAAGAACTCTTCTATACACTATACATGAACTGTACAACCATTAAGCACAGAACAGTAGAGACTAGATAGTGTATGACGGGGTTGAGGAAAGAAATAGACCAGCAGTCTGTCCATAGCGGCAGTGACTGTTGTGCATCAGCCCACTAATAGTTAGTAATAGTCCTTGGCAGCATAACTTCAGGCAGTGTCAAAACTGCAGACACTGTGGACAAATGACAGTTTTTCACAACTGCTAACAAGCATTTTTAGTACCAATTCTGTGATCACAATTTCCAAAATTTAACAAAACTGTGTATTTCTAGAGCTCAGTCTTATAATGCTTACATACACTGTTACAAAACTGTTAAACTGAACTTCATAAAAGTAACATGAACATAAACTGCATATCAGTTTACTCAATCACAAATACTACATCAGTCAACAATCAAAGCCCAAATAAATAAAATGTTGTAGAGACAAACTGCTGGTTGAATGTATGTAAACAGGCCAATCAAAGTTGATTCCCATTGGAGCCGTCCAGCCCAGGTGTTGACTCTATAAAACAGGGTCACTTCTGGAGTTATTTTCTTCACAATGAACGGTCCACTATGCTCCCAGCATATAATTCATGCATGTAAACATAAGAGAGGACAATAGGTGTGATGTGGATGAGAACAGCAAAGACATTACATTCTGTTTTATAATATTATTCAAGTGTGCTTTTTCATTCACTGTAAAAAAAAAAAACCCTGTCAAATCAACGAAACAATGCAAAGAAAAACTTTAGATGAACAAAATCAATATATTACATCAACTCATACTTTAAAAATACTTCAGATGAACTTCTCCCTACTTCTTACAAAGCAAATAACTCTCTAACTAAGATATACATAAAATATGGGAACCTTAATACCAAAAGTTGTGTTTTTTAGGTGTCTGTACTCCACTGTGCTCTGATGAGTACAGAGTATTCTTGTTATATACTATATGGACAAAAGTATTGGGACACCTACACATTACACCTACAGTAGCTTTTATGACACCCCATTCTAAATCCATAGGCATTAATATGGAGTTGGTCCCCCATTTGTGGCTATAACAGCTTCCACTCTTTTGGGAAGCTTTCTACAAGATTTTAAAGTGTGTCTGTGAGAATTGTTGCCCATTCATGCAGAAGAGAATTTGTGAGGTCAGACACTGATGTTGGACGAGTGGGCCTGGCTCACAATCTCCATTCTAGTTCATCCCAAAGGTGTTTGATGGGGTTGAGGTCAGGGCTCTGTGAGGGCCAGTCAAGTTCTTCCACACCAAACTCACCCAGCCATGGCTTTATGGACCTTGCTTTATGCGCTGGGGCTCAGTCATGCTGGAACAGAAAAGGTTCTTCCCCAAACTGTTCACACAAAATTGGAGCATACAATTTTGTCCACAATGTCTTGGTCTGCAGAAGTGTTAAGATTTCCCTTCGCTGAAACTAAGGGGTCTAGACCAACCCCTGAAAAAACAACCCCATAGCATTATCCCTCCTCTACCAAACTTTACAGTTGGCCCAAAGCTACTGTAGGTGTAATGTGTAGGTGTCCCAATACTTTTGTCCATATAGTATATAACAAGAATACTCTGTACTCAATCAGAGCACAGTGGAGTACAGACAAGTAGGTATTTTTGGGTGAAATGGGACTTCATAAAATAGCTGAGTTCAATTATTAAGAGGTGTATCCCAGTACTTGTGTATATATAGTGTATGTTCACTTTAATGTGATGTTTTTAAGGACTGGATTTATTTTTTTCTGCAAAGTTTTTATAGCTGTAGAACATGTTGGGCTGAATGTTTCTGCAGAAAGGGGTATGAAGAGTCTTGAAAAAGTAAACTTGGCACCAAGGTGCGAAATACATTCGGCCAGGGCTTCTGACTGAGTTGTGTAATGACAGTTCTAGTGCTTACTACATAATCCATACACCTGCTTATATAGGTAGTGACACTTGCTAGTTTTTTTTGTGATCCCTGCATGTAGCAGCATCATTAAACATGCTCTGGTCAGTGCAACTGGAGCTGGAACAGTCATACAATGCTGAAACTGCTCCTTTCAGGCAAGCCTTGATGGTTATTGACGCTTTTTCGGTTAGTATGTTGTTAGTATGTGATCAGAGAGATCAAGCTGGGGGCGGAATAGGCACTTGTATGCTCCGTTTGTGTTGGTGTAAATGTGATCCAGGGTATTCTCCCCTTTGTTTGTATGGAAGCATATTGGTAAAAATTGGGGTGAATGTTCCTCACAGTTACGTGGTAGAAGTCACCAGCAACCATAATGAAACTCTCAGGGTGTTTGTTCTGCAGTGAGCTGACTGCACATAGAGTTGTGAATTCTTTTGTTCACATAGACACACTGTCCTCCTCCCCTGACCTTTCCTGATGTCCACTGCCGAGTCAGAAATGTTACTGTGTAGCCATGTTTCTGTCAGAATTAAAGCACAATATTTGTTCATCTCTTGTACAGTTATTCTGAGCCTGAGCTAGTTCATTTTTTTGTCAAGTGAGCAAATGGTGTCCGTTCGAAATTGGCCTAGCTCACAGCACCAGAGCTGCGGCCTCCCAGGGTGATAACGCAGCCTCTCAGAAAAGAGTCTGGCAAAGCCCATTGCTGTTAAGCTCCTTCACTAGCTCTGCTCGCGGGACCAGTCGCTGTCAAACACTGCATCAGCGATAAAATTACGTTGTAGTGAAACTGAAACCCAACGTTTACATAGTAGCTCTTTTTAAAAATGCCATGTCTGATATCGCAAGTATTCTTTTAAATTTCTACTTTGTAACTCCCCATCGGACACATTTGTCTGCTACACTGGAAAATAAGACACGGGAAACTTCTTCACAATGACAAAACATAATAAATAATAAGCTTAATTCTTGCTGTGTTTCTTTGTTCAAAAGTAATTTTACCTTTGCTTCAAAATAGGTTCGTCCATCTCCTTTCTGGATCGCTGTAGCTTTAATAACAGCACGTGTCAGATGGCTACCTGTTCTTCCTCTGCTAATGGATGGAAGATGGTGAGCAATGCATCTGGAGGACCACTTAGTGACCATTCCAACCTAGGTGACGTTTCCAGTTGTAGGAAAATCATGAATATTTATTATGAATAACCCAAGCTTTGCTTATGTCCATACCAGTTTGAATGTACTTAAGATATTTTCAATGTTCCCTTTCAGGTGTTTCTGCCATGTCTGTGAAGAACACTTCATCAGGTATACATTTACTATGACACACTATTTCACACAGGACAATTTCAGTATTTGGCTTAAGCATGGGAAGCGAAATCCAGTATTGATGTGTGTTGGGATGTCTTTTATTTCATCATTTGAAAACAGGTTAAGATTTGATTCCGAACCTAATGTACTACATCACACCAATCTTCTGCTTCTGGTTTAGCTAGTGTAGGTGTGCTACTTTATAACTGGAAATATGTAGATTTCCATGTGCACCCTAGGGGATCCCTGATATAGTGTTGTCTGTAAGCAATTTGATAGAGATTGTTTGTTGTTTTTTTTTCAAGCACATTGAATTTAAAATTAAACAATCCCTGTGAGGTTAAAGTGTGGATTCTCAATATTGAGTGAAAATTTCCATAGAAATTTCCATTTTTGATGGTTATTTGCCTTTGGTAATTATTCTTGTGACTCTGAAAAACTCATTATCTGCTTTGGCAATATATTTTGGGTCACTGTCCTACTGCCAGGTGAAGCACCATCCACTGTGTTCTGAGGGGTTTTGTTAGATCTGAACAGTTCAGAAGCTGCTGTTCACTTCAGATGCTGCTTCTGTTGCACTGTTCAGTTCAACAGCCATACATGGTGTTGTTCCTGTTTGCTACTGAGCAGTTATAAGTCACAATAACTGAAATGATGTACTTTTGAATGTGGTGAAAATTTCCATAATACACTACCAAATATATTACCAAATATATACCGAAAGTATTCTTTAGCCATTTACTACTATGGTACATCTCACTTCTTAAAAAGTAGAGGTTAACCCCTTATAATCTCAGGCTTATTATATATGTATTCAGTAACTACAGGGACTTTAATGCAAACTGGTTGGGCCATTCTTAGATTATAGAAGTGTGTAATAAAACTTCGGGCCCTTATATCTACACTGTGTTTTCTGCAGGGCCGTCTTTCTTCATGCACTTTAGCACGAAGGCTGGACAGGAAAGAGACTCGGCTCGACTGGCGAGTAAGGAGATGACCCCCCACAGAGACTGCCACGTCCAGTGTCTGCAGTTCTTCTACTATCACAGCGGGAATGAGACTGACCAGCTCAACGTCTGGATCAGAGAGTACCAGAATGATACTGACACCATAGGAACCCTCAGACTTATGGACCAGATCACAGGTAATCTACAAGTTAGTTTTGATACTTATCAGATATTATTGTGCATTTACTAACCCCTTAAAATCCCAGGCTTATTACATACAAGGATTATTATTCAGTAACTACAGGGACTTCAATGCAAACTCATTGAGCTATTCTTAGGTTATCGAAGTGTGTAATAAAACTTTGGCTTGTTAAGGGATTAATAACTGAAAAATATGCTTGGATTGTGCTGTACTTAAAAAGTTTGTAAAGTCTTAAAATTGACATTGAAAATTTAAGATCATAAAATGTATGAAAATGTCTTATTTTTAAAAAATTAGAGATACTGAATTTGGATTAATGGATCAGTTAGTGGCTTACAAGAACCCAGTCTGGTTTGAAAGCTTCATTTCGTTTTTGTGCTGTAGAGGTACCATAAAAGTTATCCAATGTCTGCAGCAGCCAGGAGCATTTTCAGAGGATAATGAAGCAGTTTAAATGTCTACAGTTTAAGAGGAAGCTTAAAAAACAGGAACCTGGACATCCTTAATTTATTTGTAAGAAAACGGAGTCACCCTGTTAAAAACTGAGTGATCGTGTGTATTAGTTTTTACATACGCAAACAAGCCAGGTTTCAAACATCAATGCAACAGGCAAATTCATCCCATACTTGATTGAGCATGTCGGGTGTCGCTGCACTCACGGCTCTTTCAATGCGATTTCGGAGATTATCCAGTATTGTGGAACCAACAAAGAACGCTCTGAGCTGTTGGAAGTTCACTGCCGACGAAAATCACGTTGCACAGTTATGACGGATTCACTTTTATTGAAGTGGAGAACGCGAAACACGTCTTCCTCAGGGGTCGCATCTCCTCGCAGACTGAAGGGAGCTATCTTCCGATGACAGTCAGAAACTCTATGACCCCCTCTTTCAATTGGTATGTGATTGGTTCCTAGGCGCCTCACGGTTGTAAAAATATGGTGCTTTGAAATCAGATGAATTTTTGAATCACCTTGTTTGTCTATATGCTACACTGAACTCAACAGTTATGGACCGTTTAAGATAAGATAATCCTTTATTAGTCACACAACGGGGAAATTCTCAGTGTTACAGCAGCAAAGGGAGAGCGAGGCACGCAAGAAAAAGTAAAGAAGTAACAAGAAGAGAATTAACGAGCAAGTAATTAACTTTGTTAAGTACTTAACAAGGTTTTTACAGTTTACTTGTTACTATATAGACAATATATAATACTAAAAGTAAAAAAATAAGATCAAAATATAAATTCCATCCTTCACAAAAAGTTAACAATATAAAGAATTATAAATAAATAAAAAGCCAAGACATTTACACTATAAGGATATTGTGCCCGAAATTCACATGGAGTATTGCACATGAGGTACTGGTTTATATTACACATGGGAATGGTGAGGAGTTAACAATATGAACATTATAAATAGAAAGCAAAAAAAATCTTTATACTATAGAGATATATTTTTTAAAATATTGCACATGCAGTTATATTGCACACAGGAAAAGGTGTTAAATTCACAATTGATGTTCTGTAGGTGAGTGAGGTCTAAAGGGGGGTGAAGGAGGGTTCTATTGGGAGCAGTACTGGTTGTACAGTCTAACAGCAGCCGGAAGGAAGAACCTGCAATAGCGTTCCTTCACACACTTGGGGTGAAGCAGCCTGTCACTGAAGGAGCTGCTCAGTGCTATCAGTCTCATTTAATTATCGACTAATAATCTAAAAACATAAATAGTCTATTGAAGACTCTTACTAAGTAATTTGCAGTTTAATTATTAGCCTATTGTATGATATAAAACATCTTTTTATATCTTATTTATCAGCTGCAGCTGAACTCAATACATAGCCAGATTACATAACCGATTAAAATTACAAACGCTAGTCAAAACTCATTAGCAATGGTCGAAAAGCAAGTACTTCAAAACAAAAAGAACTAATGAATCTTTATTAGTTCGGCCTGTTTAAGTAAAGTTAGGTCTCTCTCTTTTGCAGAATCCATCAGCATCATATTAGCATGACTACATGCTTTAAAAAATTGCTCATGGAGTTCACAGCACTTCTGAGCTCACAATGCATACCACAGAGAAATTGATAATCTATAAAAAGAAAATGTATGGTCCAAATATGTTTTAAATGCATCACAGGTGATTGTTTTTTGAAACATATGAGTAACTCAAGTCATTTAAATCAGTGAAAGGAAAATGAACCACCAAACACTGGCTGTGCTGAGAATGATCCACCACCCAAGTAACATCTCAGAGATATTAGTGTTGGTGATGATCCTATAGAGGTTGGGGTAAAGTGTGGTCAACAGATTGTGCAGAAACAGGTGGGAAATTGTCAATATGTAGGTTTGAACACTCCTGTGACATATTTAGCTGTGAAAATAAGTTAACGCATCCTCTACAGAGAACACATTTAAACATGGCATTTCATATTTATTTGCTGAATTTCACGTATTGCAATAAATAAATAAATAAAATTGTGTGGTATCTTCTGCACAGGCCAGCACACTCAGATATAAATAGTAATTGTGCTTCAAAATGTGCAGAAGTGCAGAAGTGTTTTCTCTGCAGACAATGTGTTGACTCATTTTCACTTCAATCAACAAAAAAAGATAACTTACATGGGACTTTTTTTAACTTACATATGACAGGTGTACCTGTGAAAATGGTCAATGAGTGAAGGTACAAGGCAAGTGCACCTAATAAAGTGGCAACTTAAGTGTGCAAACATTGCAGTTTATTAACTTGTTTAAAGTTATGGTTGGAAGTTTCCTTTATTACAACTACAAACTGTGTAGCATGTATAGCTAGTACAAGGTCTACCTAATAAAGTGGCAAATTGTTTTCAGGACCTCCCACTAATCGCTGGCAGCTCCGTCATGTGCCTCTGAATACCGATAAGCCGTTCCTAGTTGAGTTTGAAGGACGGAAAGGAGCCGGATATTCCGGAGGAGGCTTCTCAGTGGACGATATCAACCTGTCAGAATCAGAGTGTCCTCATAATGTATGGCAGATCAAGAACTTCATGGAGCTTTGGAACAAATCTGCACCTGGCACTTTCATATTCAGCCCAGCCTACTACTCACCTGACGGCTATCGCTACCAGGTACTTCTGAGACTGAATGAGGACTTCCTGTCCATCTTCGTGCGACTGGTATCTGGTGTCTATGATGACCAGCTACAGTGGCCCTGCCCATGGAGACAAGTGACTTTCTTGCTGCTGGATCAGAACCCCGACATCCAACAGCGCATGTCGAATCAAGCAAGCCTCACAACTGACCCAACTATGATATACGGTGAGAAAAATTAATTTCTCATTTGTCTCAATCATCATCTGTACAGTGCACTAAAGGTTTTTATCACTCCTCAATATTTTTTCTTATTTACCAGTGCATCTTTGACTTGATCTTGTTAAGCCCTTTTATGGAATGTTATCCAAGCACTTTTACATCTCTTTTATTTTAGGAGGAAAGTCCTTTTGGGGAAAGCCTAGTGATGTGGGATTTCTAGCAGCTGTCAATGATAACGAGTTGGTAAATGTGACTATTGGATATGGCTATTACATATTTTTGGAAAAAGCCCGCCTCAGTGACAGGGAGTTTGTCAAAGGCGGTGATCTCATCCTTCTCATCAGCATGCAAGGTTGGCTTTCATTTTACAGTCCTCAAATAGTACCAATCTAAGATTATACATACTTCTAATTACATACAGGGTGTCCCAAAAAAATTGACATCATTTGACATGTGAATATCTGAGAAACTACATGTCCTGGGCAAACGAAATTAAATACGCTTCATGTTGAACAATACAAGATTTATTTATCAAAATTCAAACAAGAAATTCAGAGGGATGTAGATTTTATAACCGATTTCACAAAGCTTCACAAATGTAATATCTTCTGATACTGGTGGGCGTCCATATCCCTTTGCCCTGCACAGACAGCCTTCCTCTTTGAATTTTTTGTGCCATGTCCAAATCTGCTGTCCAGTTGGTGCATTTTTATTGAATTTTCTCAAAAATGCACACTGCACACTCTTGTTTGACTGTGTTCGAGCATATTCTAACACACTATATGCCTTTTCATTTCTAGTAAATGCCATTCTTCAACCTGAAAAAAAAACCATTAAAAATTAAACTTGGTTAGTTTTTACAAAATGATGTCAATTTTTTGGGACACCCTGTATTTCCTGTCTAAAACAGATTTTACTTTTTGCATGTGTGTATGTGTGTGTTTGCGTTTGTGTGTGTGATATTGCGTTTAGATGTCTCAGCGCTGAAGGAGAGTAACTCTTTGCCCTGCCCCAGAGTACCAGTGAAGAACTTCAATACCTCTCTTTATTTGGGTGCTCAAAAAGGATCCTGCACAGCACGGTGAATGCACAGTCAAGCTCTTACAGAAGTCCATACAAAAACACTCAAAAATGTATTTAATAGGGACTAACGTCCTGAAATATAATGCAAACGTGCCTAAATTACATATCATTACAAGAAAAGCTTCTTAGCCACAATGTTATAGCCATTGACAGGCTTGTGCACCACAACCATGTACATGATTAAAAAAATCATTGTATGGTATTTTCCAGAGGTGGGAACAAGTCACTAAGTTGCAAGTAACAAGTAAGTCTCTAGACTTGACAGTCAAGTCCCGAGTGAAGACAGTTGAGTCTCGATTCAAGTCCCAAGTCAATACAGGCAGGTCTTAAGTCGAGTCCCAGGTCCTAATTTTCAAATCCTAAACAAGTTAGTCAGCATTCTTTAGCTAATTTAACATTTCAACAAAACCAAAAATGTCACCGTATTACAGCCTTTTAATGACAGCATGTTAGCTGTGTGTGGCTGTATATTATTTTTTTTTTTTCACACTTTCAAATAAAATGCAAAATCCATGGTATACGGGATAACCATGACAGACACAAAGAAAAAAATGCAACTACATATGAATTTTCAAAGTACTATGAAACTTAATTTATGTCCCAGTTTCCCCTTTATCCCTCTGAGTGTGTTTCTTCCCCTGTGTTGTAGTCATGTGCTTTTGTTGTTGTTTTGTTCTGTGTCTATGTATCTGTACTAGTCTCCATCAGTGTTCCTCTTTCTGTGTCTGAACTTAATGTCTCCGTCCCTACCCCAGTAAACCTGTCTGTCCCTGTCCCCATGTCTATGTTAATTCCGTCTCCCTTTTGTGTCGTTGGTCCAGCCTCCTACGCAGTCTTTTGCCCAGCCCACTGTCCAGTCTTTTGTCCAATCCCGTCTGTTCCTCTGTCCAGCCTTCCCTCCTGTATCCTGTATCTCCGTCTCATGTTCTGCCCCGTTTTGTCTCCGTCCACTTCTAACGTCTCATTTGTCTCGTCCTTCGTCCCATCTCCTGTCCAGTCCCATGTTCAGTCTACTGTCCAGTCTCCCATTCAGCCATTTGTCCAGTCTCATGTCCTGTCTTTTGACCAGTTCCCTGTCTGTTCCCCTGTCCAGTTTCCTGTGCATTCCTATGTCTAGTTTCCTGTCTGTATCATAGTTGTCCTTTGTCCAATCCCTTGCACAGTTTAGTATATGGTCCCGGTCTGATGTCCTGTGCCCTGTCTAGTTTCCTGTTCAGGTTCCTATGTGTTTTCCCGGTCCCACCTCCTACCCAGCTCCCTCTTTGTATGGCCTTTGTTATTTGCGCCTCGGGAGCTGTGCATTAGGAGGAGGGTTCTGTCACAGTTTCCCCTTTGTCCCTCTGAGTGTGTGTTTCTTCCCCTGTGTTGTAGCCATGTGCTTTTTTGTTTTCTTGTACCATGTGCTTTTGTTGTTGTTTTGTTCTGTGTCTCCTCCCCGGTCCTGCCCCCTTGTTATCTGCTCCACCTGTCTGGTAGCTCCACCCCCTCATTAGTCCCAGGCGTTTCTTGTTCCCCCCTCAGTGTATTAATACCCCTGTGTTTGTTCAGTATCCTTGTCTTGCATTGTGGAAGTTACTCTGTCACTTGTTTTCTTTGATCTAGTTGCTCACTTTTGTTTTATCATGGACTTGTCTGTTCTACCACCCTCTACTACTCCGTTTCTGCACTCAGTTAAATCAGATTTTAATAAAAGCAACTCACACTTGCATCCCGCCTCCTCGCCTCCACCATTACAGTTTAAAAATTGTATTTGGAGACAATAATTTTTGATGGTTTTTGGGAACACTGGGTACATAGGATTCAAATAAAAACTAGCTCAGCACTAAAACTAGTTCCATTCCATGTCCATAAACGGAGCAGCAGTTATGTTCCGGGGCCTAACTGCTGCACCATTGTTACAATCATTTCCAGTCCTTTTAGTGTGCTACTGTGTACATTATTCAATACTTTCCCAGTAATTTGGACCAAAATGTTCTTCTGTTGTTATAAGCTTAACATCAACAAGCAACAAAGTAACAATACCACAACCTTTTTTGATGCTATATAGAACCACATACAACACATTCTCCAATTTGAAGAACGATTTCACCATGAAAAGAACTTTTTATGCATGCAAATGGGTCTGAGTGTTCATGGTTCTATATAGAATGACTGTCTTTACTAAAGAACTGTCTTTAAGAAACCTGAAGAGCTATTTTTTAAGACTGTGGGCTATAATTACAAAAAATCAGCTCTTGCGATTTGAAAATTGCACTTAAATTGTGATTTTGATATAAAAATGATTACCTATAGACGCTAACCTATAAACACAAAGTGAATCAAATTCATTGGCAACCAATCAAAATCTCCATTTCAGTGGGGCGGCAGGACATTTCTCACCTGAAAAAATATAGATAATACTATTGTTTATTTTATCAGCTTTAACACATTTTCAAATATAAAACACTATTTATACTATGGCCTGAATACTTAATGGTTATCATTTACTGAGCGATGTGCATCCCTATTGCCTAGTATCCCCAGCCTGATCAACATTTCAGCAATCCACATGTTAAGAGCCATTTTGTTGTTTCAACCATCTTGGGAGCCACAACATTTTATGTCCATTTTACTATCTTGGCTGTAAATATGTCTAGTGTGTGCTATTGTACTAGTATAGGCTAAAAATATAAAATAAATGAAAACACAAACTTCTTTGCTCTGCTTTAAGCTTTTACCCAGCCACTTTTCTCACATCTCCAGCAGGAAACTTTTCCTCAAAAGTGGAATAGTTTTATGTAAAATGTCTCTTAACAATCGCCTTTTTATGAGACTGAAGTCAGCTTCTCATTGGCCAGCTTCTTGTTCTAATTTTCCTGTTCCACCTTAAATGGTGCCAGAGGTGCCAGAATGTAACTGCTGTGCCATTTAAGGTAGAACGGGAGAACTCGATTGAGAAGCAGACTTCAGCGTCGGGACTTTTTAGCGTTTGACAGGTTTGCGTTGCAAATTAAGTGCATCAGGAAACGAGCTGAAGTGATTATAAACGCAAATAAGTCCATTCGTCTCCAAATTATCAATGGTTGCCTTAAATCTTTCTCTTTGTCTTTTCGTTAGCTAAAAGCTAGGCGACTGTTGTCGTTGCTATGTCTGCAGTCTGCACGCCAACCTTCAGGATTAAAGGGCTGGTAAATTTGCAGATTTAGGCTACATTGACTCCAGTGTTTAGGACCTTTCAGTGTTAAAACTGTGTTAGAACGAGCAGCAGAGCTTTGTTGTACAGCAAAGTAGGATTATTTTATTTTTATCTAAAATTCTAATTCTGCTGCGGACTAGACAATCATTGTCTTGTTTTAAAATGATGTGCGCCTATGAAGAATGTGCCATCTGCACGCACATATGAACACGTTTATGCATGATGCTATCTTTTCCGAGCTGCAGTCTGTAAACACTGTTGCCCATTGGCATTCATCAAACATGATAGTCACATTTCACTCTCACAGACTAGAGAGAGATGCACTGCCCAGCTTGCACATCAACTTTTATTTGTTAAACATTACTGTTATTTGCTGACATCAAATTTGGAGAGGAGAGAACACAAGTTTACCTGATTGCTGTTTTCACAATTTACTCCCATCCTTTCAAGCAAAGCTGTAAACAATGAGCAACTTTGACATGAAATGGAGACAGGGCCCTTGCATAATTTGCGGGGCCCTATGTAATGTCCGTAGGGAGTGTATAGGGCTTACCAGCTCTGTGTAAGCAGGTGCTTTAAGGTCATTTAGAGCTTTAGAAATTAGCAGCAGAACTTTAAAATCCATTCTTAAAGATACAGGTAACCAGTGCAGCTCTTTCAAAACAGGAGTGGGCAGCAATACAGGGCAGCCTATCTAAACATAAACATTTACATTTATCGGTTTGAAAGGTACAGAGATAAAAACAGCCAGATGAATTCTAAGATAAAGAATGGCTGCAGGATTGTTGTGTACAAATAAACTATGTCTCTTTTTTTTGGCACATAAATAATAAATAGAATGCAATGAAAATGATGGAGGATGTGGGCTCTTTACAAGACATTTAAAAACCTTTGCTTCACATAAAGCCTGTACTGACCTGACATAATGCTGTCTTAGATGTAATATTGGTTATGGTGCACTGGTGTTCTTATGAACAGATATTATAATGCATTATAGAATTTTTGAAGGTCATATGCTCTTGCTTAAAAAAGTATTATGCCATTCTCAGTACTTATACGCACTTACACCTGCATAAGCACCTTATATCAGGCACTTATCGCTGCTGAGAGAACAAAACCTTGTATCTTCATTTTTGTCTTTTTCAGTTTCCTACATAATTTGAAAAAGCCTGCTGTCATTTACATTGTGTTTAAATTTGATAAAGAATGGACCAAAAGAAATGGAACAAAATGAATTAGTAAAAGGTCTGGTTGCACTGACTTACATTAATTGTAGAGTATGTTTATATCCTTCTTCTGTAAAGTTATTATTTCGGAGATACAAGCTATTGTTCCAACAGCAGCATTATGCAGGTGTAATTGTTATTATGTAGGTTTCAGAAAATGTAAAAGTTGTTATGTTGGTTTCACAAGAAACGTTAAATCAAACGTGTTTAAATTAACCTGCTGTAATTATAAGAAAGGCTTTTTAACAGCAATGCTATAACTATTTGGATGCCTGTCAATATGGACTATGTTTTCTGTTAGCAAATGCATATAAAATTTTACACTTTTTTAAACAGTTGTATATCACTTGAAAGTGAATGCAACTCATTTGTGATAAGGTGTAAAGATAAGGCAATAAATAAGTAAATCTTTGCCCTCTTTTCTCTCTAGAGCTGTTACTGTGTCTCCAGCAACTACAACCACAACCACAGCCACAGCCAGGTACACCCATTCCCATTATTTAAATACTTTTTAAATACTATTTGAAACTGGAAACCGCAAGTAAATTGTATCATTTCTAAATGCAAATATTTGTGTAAATATTTAAGGCCATGCTGTCTGGTTGACCTTTTATGAAAAGTAAACTCCCTGAGTTTTAGCCTAAGCCTGCTTTGCATAAAAAGAAGCACTAATATCAGATTATTAATGAAAGTTTAGGTAAACCATTAGTATTCCATTAAAGCAGAGTGAAGACTGTGAGCAAGTTTTTTGTCAAATTTTACCTACATACTATATTGTGCAAAAGCTCTTGATTAGAAGTCTTGATTAGAAGCGTGAAACCAGCGTTTTCCATCTTTCTGGTATGCTAGTGTATATAATATTCAGTATTTTTCTAGTGGCCGAGTTTGGCCTAGTTGTCACAATAGTGAGTTAGTTAATGAGGTAGTGAGTTATTTCGTAAAGGATTAAGTTAGTGAGTTTAGTTATTGAGCAAGTTACTGAGGTAGTGAGGTAGTCAGTTTAGTTAGAGAGGTAGTGAGTTAAGTTAGTGAGTTTAGTTATTGAGGTAGTGAGTTAAGTTAGTGAGTTTAGTGAGTGAGTAAGTAAGGTAGTGAGTTATGCTAGTGCATTACTTGCTGAGGTAGTGAGTTAGTGAGTGCATGAATCTGAGTTTAGTTAGTAAGCTGGTGAGCTAGTGAGTTAGTTAGTGAGTTAGTGAGTTAGTGAGGTAGTCAGTTAACAAGTTCAGTTAGTGAAGTAGCACGTTTAGTGAGTTCATGAGTTTAGCCTGTAAGTTGGTGAGCTAGTGAGTGAGGTACTCAGATAGTGAGTGTAGTGAGTTAGTTAGTGAGGAAGTAAGGTAGTGAGTTATGCCAGTGCAATTTAGCTAGTGAATTCATGAATCTAAGGCTACGTTCACACAGCAGGTAAAACTGGCCCAAATCTGATTTTTTTCACCAAATCCAATTTTTTGTTTTGCTGTTCAAATTATTTTTTTAAATGTGATCTATACGCGACATAAGTCTGAACAGATGAGCTCCTAAACTAACACGCATGCGTAAAAGAACAGAGCTTCATGTTGCTTCACGTGGCTCATAAACAGAGGTAAACAATCATGACTATGAACAAACACCAGTCGCTCCCGGAGGGTTCAGTTTCATCTTCGCAAGCATCACAGGAGCCATCATGAAGCTTTACTGACTGACAACTGGGCTCATCACCCAGAATGTGTTCGAGCTCACCATAAGAAGGGCACGTTATTCGGTGTTTTTTTTGGTTCTTGTCCTCGGATTCTTTAAACTTTGTTTTCAGATTTTTAACTGTTCTTTGACGCTGCAGCTTCGCTCTCCTACGGGCACATTCGGCCATTTCTTTCAGAATCTCTTCAAACACGGAGGGTTTTGGATAAGTCTGTTTTAATTTCTGTACAGAAACATCACCCCAAATGTTTATGAGGTCTCAGCAGTGCGAAATCATAACGAATGTCGAGTTGGATTGACGTAAAAGTCACATGAATTCGTATCGGATTTCAGTCCCACATAGGAAAGCATCTCAAATCGGAATTGAAAATATCAGATTCTGTGTGTTTTTGCTGTTTACACTGCCACACAGATGAAACATCTGTGTCACGTATGAAGAAAAAAAATTGGATTTGGGCCACTTTTACCTGCTGTGTAAACGTAGCCTAAGGTTAGTCAGCAAGTTGGTGAGCTAGTGAGTGAATTAGTGAGGTAGTAAGGTAGTGAGTTTAGTGAGTTAGTTAGTGAGTAAGGTAGTGAGTTATCCTTGTGCATTATTAAGTGAGGTAGTGAGTTTACTTAGTGAGTTCATGAATCTGAGTTTAGTCAGTAAGTTGGTGAGCTACTGAGTTAATTAGTGAGTTAGATAGTAAGTTACTGATATAGTTCTGGTCAGGTCAATGAGGTGTTTTGTATCTAGGAAGAGCCAGCAGGATTAATCACACCAGCACTGAATTTATTCAAAGCAAAGAATAATCCAAAGTGGATTATTACCACCGTTCAAAAAACCAAACCTTGTTTTAAGACATATTTGTAGGGACTTATTTCTGTTTATCTCTTCTCTTTCAGTCAGTGCCGGGGCATCTTTTGTTCTGGGGCTAATATCGTGCATCCTTCTGTCGCCCTCCTGCTGGCTTTGGTCCTGCTGGTAATAAACTAACAGCCCAATCAGCACAACGCCATGGTGCCGCTAATCTGTTTCGCAATCCTTTGGCCATTATCTACCAATCATCTAATCAATCATGTGGTTATAATTGTTTTGTGTGATTCTAAATCTATTAGTAATGCATGAAATTAACCTTATCGAGAATCTTCTCTCATTTACCAATCAGCTGTGAATGGATCCTTGTTGATTTTACTGTATATTTTAAAAACACTTTATTGTTAATGATTATAATGGATGTGAATCAACTGATATTCTTAAACAAAATGTCCAGAACATTTAAATCACTGTACCACATCCACTCTCAACCTAATTACTATTACCTAATTGGTGAACTACTTTGCAGAGAGCCTTAAGCCTTCACTATATACACAGACCAGGCATAACATTATGACCACCTCCTTGTTTCTACACTCGTTGTCCATTTTATCAGCTCCACTTACTTTATAGGTGCACTTGGTAGTTCTACAGTTACAGACTGTAGTCCATCTGTTTCTCTGCATACTTTATTAGCCCCCTTTTACCCTGTTCTTCAGTGGTCAGGACCCCCATTGACCCACACAGAGCAGGTACTATTTGGGTGGTGGATCATTCTCAGCACTGCAGTAGAACTGACGTGGTGGTTTGTTAGTGCGTGTTGTGCTGGTACGAGTGGATCAGACATAGCCGTGGTGGTCATAATGTTATGCCTGACCGGTGTAAATGTAACTTTTTATTATTATTATTATTATTATTATTATTACTATTGTTATTATGAACATGTCTTCATATATTCTTATTTTAGTGGTATGTTAAAGGTTTTACACAATCCTTAAAACCTATTAACAGCTGCAGATTGAATCAATGAACCTCCTTTTTTCTTCTACATACAAGTGTAATATATTTAAAAGTCATTTTCAATTGTCACTTTTTTTCATAACTTTCCCAATTAATATTTACATGCTACATGTTTCATCTACAGCTAATGACACACTTTTACATTAAAAAGGTTGATTACTATAGTCAAAAGCTGTTTATGTAAACTCTTCATGAAGGTGTGGCCTGATGATGCCCACTAGGTGGCAGTCAAGATGTTTGAAAATCTACACTTTTTCCGACAACCATCCAGAGACAGAACAGAAAAAAAGAAACACAGAAATGTTTTACACCATTAACAGTGGTGCAATACCAAGGTACAACTGTAGCACCTTAAAGCCATCAATAAATAAGATCTTTCATTTTTCTTTTTCAAACCATACATCATGAAAAAGCCTGTTTAGATACACCACATTGGAGCCACCGATCACCAATCAATTTTTTTTTTAAAAAAGGCACAGAACGTTGTGTCTGAAATGGAGAAAACTCTTGGGGATCATGTCCAGAGGTAGGAGTTCACAGAGGAAAAAGAGCACTGAGTCACAATGAGAACTGTGTGGTCAAACATGTGTTAGATCATTGACATTATAAACTGTGAGTCTGTCTTGTCTTTTCAAAAAGGGGTTTGATGCTGTTAAATGTTTCAACCAACAAGGACACACAGATTTGATGGGTATAAACCAATGATATTGCCAAAAACAATATAATTACAAACCCCCTACTTGCAGAACAGTATGTGAAATACACTTATAAACAGAAAGCAGAGATGTGTTAATCCACTTTGACCTGTATTTCCACCAAAACAGTACAAGGTCTAGGTCAGTAAAAAGTCTAGGTCAGGTACATGACGTGTTCTTAAACCCCAGAATTGTTCAGACCTTTGCACTCTTAAGTGTGCATACATTCTGTTCTTACCTAAGAACAAATCCAAAATAAGAAAACATTGGTGATTATCAGAATCTTAGTGAAAACTGTGTAAGTGGGTTTTAAGAAGAAAATTAATCTTAGGAACGGTTGGTGAATGCGGCCCACTGTCTTATACCGGTGATGTATGTAATCACTAGATAAAATAAATTCCGCTATTGCCTTATGAACGATTATTAACCCCAGGAATACTGCTTTGGTATCATTCAGTGTGTGAAATACCCCCTTGGTATTCGGGGGGTGCCATGTTGGCTTACTAATCTAGCCTTGGCTGGATGCTCGCTTGCCATAGCAGCGCTGAGGCTAGCTTCAATTAATTCTTTACACCAATCTCTTGGGAAAACTGTGCAAGTTTTTGGAATTACAAATATGCCACGTCATATCAAAAAGGTATCCTGGACATAATTACAGCTGCTAGGCTATGAGGGGCTAATTGGGTCAACCAAATGGCTACAACGCCACCCTGAGGCAGACCAGTGCTGCATTTGTAGTTAGTTGAGAGAAGCAGACTAAACAATGACCTTTCTCTGAATTTCTATTTGAGCGTCTATTTTACCCTAACATCATCATCATCATCACTTTTATTTATATAGCGCCTTTCCCATGCTCAAGGACGCTTTACAATCGATACATAATCACAACACACACACACACACACACACACACACACACACTCTAGCGGAAGAAATTTCAGTGACCACAGCACAGTCACTCAGCTAGCTAGCCCGGAAAGAGTCGTTAGCGGCGGGGGAAAGTCTCACGCTGCAACTACGGTGCATCACACATGAGGCCGGCCCGGGAAGCCTCGAAGACTGAAGATGTCCTTTGCCACAAAGAGGTAGCATTTTCCTGCAGCCGAACACCACCAGTCCAGGCAGCCTCACAGCTGCAATGCAGCGTTACCCAAGCGGCCGGCCCGAGAGGCTTCGTGGCTGCACCGTAGCGCTGCTCATGCAGCCGAACACTACCGGTCCAGGCAGTCTCACAGCTGTAGTGCAGCGTCAACTAAGCAGCCAACCCAGGTCATGTGATGTCACATCGATCAGGTCCCCAGTCCAGAGAGCCCCGCAGCCGCGCTGCAGCACCACCCGAGTGGCCTGTCCAGGCCAAACAGCCAATCCAATAAGCCCCCAAGCCACAGTTGGAAAACCGCTCTCAGCCACTGTCTCAGTGGACATGATGGCAAACTTCTCAGGCAAACATCAAAACAAACACACAAACAATACAAAGCTAACAGAAAACCGATGTAAAGCGGCAGCCATATTGCGCCAGTATACTTATAGCGGAACACGCACGCGCACACACACACACACACTCACTCACACCCCAACAGACAGCATAGACCACTGTAGTTTGGAAAAATCGCCTCTATCGCACCCTGTGTTAAATAAAAATGTTCTGTTATAAATATTGCTACATGTAAGCTAATGCTACTGCGCACTGAACTCACATCATTAGACTGGCAGTCTCCCTAAGCAGGCTTTGGCAGTGTACAAGAAGTCAGAACAAAATCAGCAGGTTTCCCTGTAGTTCTCTGTTCTTCATCTGAAGCTCAGTGAAACAAGATAGATCTTTCCTTTTAGCTTCATTTGAAAAGATCTACAAACGTACCTGCACTCAGGCTAATCCAGTACAGACTCATCTTAATATCACTGCTCACACCCTGATCAGCTGATTTAGGCTCTCAGAATATCCTAATCATTCTTTTAATGCTGGTAACATTTTCTGCGGACACTTTCTTGGGACATTCGCCAGCTTTTTGTTCAACTTTTCCTGTTCCACCTTAAATGGTACAGCAGCCACATTCTGACATGCTGCGCCATTTAAGATGGAACAGGAAAATTCGAACAAGTAGCCTGCAAAAAAGAGCTGAGTATCTTTAACCTTTTTTACTGTTTCACAGAACCAACAGGTCAGTATTTTGTCTTGTTTGCTGATGTTTGTGATCGCTAGTCACAGTTGCTGTACCATTTAAGGTAAAACGGGAAGATTGAAACAAGAAGCTGTGAAAAAAGAAGCTAAATTCAGCCTCATAGTTTTAACACGGGTAGTATTTTTGATAAGGAGTTTTAGGTTATCAAAATATCCCACCCAGAGGTTTTATTTCCGGGTATAACTGTAATTATGTGCTACGGTAGAAGATTTTGATAAGGTAGCACAGCTCGTCAGAGCACCGACACAGCACGCCTTAGCTTTATGTAGCTTAGTGACATCAAATTGATGCGCAGTAGCTTTAACTCGCATTTAGCAATATTAGTATTAATATAGGGCTCTTTAATGACCTCGTAATTCGGAGGATCCAGTAGTATACGGGAGAAAAACGTACACAAGACAAAACGTATCGGGTTCTGAACATTTTTATTTAACACAAGGTGCGATATTTTTATTTGAGATCGAGACATTTAGGGGGTCCAAGAGGTTAATTAGGGAGTTCTGGACCCCCTGGACCACCTGTACTTGGCACCTTCAGCTCATCATGGAAAAGTATGACATTTTATCTTTGTCATAGTTGCCAAGATTGAAATCTGCTCAATGTCAGCTGAGTTTTTGGTTTGAGCTTGAGCACCTGGGTGTGCCTTAAAATGCCTGTATTCAGTCACCGTATTTCCTGTTATGCGTTTCTGAACCTCTTTCTGGTGTGATCCAGCACATTTCTGCTTTCTTTTTCCAGAAAAGCAATTTCTTAAAAATCTTTCATCCATACACAAAATTTGGCTAACTGTTCGATATGTTGGAGCGTGAAGTTAATTTTTAAACATTCTGCATCACACAAATGATTGTTAAACTCTGTGTTGTGTAAATGATGTTTAGATTATGGGAAATTGCTTATATGTTGCCTAGAAGCAAAATTGTGCTACAGTAGAATGGATATAGCTAGTAACAAGTTTCACATGCCATTTATTTTATTTATTTATTTTTGTTAGGATTTTGTGTGTTTATCTTTTATTTAGAATTCAATTTTACTTGATGTGAATCTAACATTACTGGCTAGAACTCCATTCCAGCCAGTTCTGTCCTTACAATTCTGTCCATAAAGTGGCCTTTAGGGCTCCTCAGACAGTCCACATTCTTCCTCTATTCTTATGTGCACTGTTAGATGAGTTGAAGTAAAAATGTGGACCATCCGGGGGCTCTGAGAACCAGTTTGAGAACCACTTGCAATAAAGGGTCAAAAGGGATATGTATTTGTCTTTAATTATTATAATGAATGTGAATCAGATTATCTCCGCAACCCCTCTCCACTGTAGTGTTCACTGAAATGCAGACATTGTGAAATACAGGGGCATCACTAGAGATTAAGCCTGTACTAGGGGGGTCTGGGGTATGGTCCCCAAAGAGAATTTTTTTAATGGCCCCCAAATATTTATAATGCACTTTTAGAGTGGCAACAGCCAGAAAATGTCAAGTACATCAGCCGTGTTAAGTATATTAAAAATGGTGTGATTTTGCTCTGTGGTCATGTTTAATTAGCTAGGTAACAGAATTTCATGGTCATGGTGACAGGTATTATTATTCTCTCAGTTAAATTAAACTAAATTCAGTATTAATTTAACAGAAGCTTAAACAACTCTCCCTCGCTTTCATCACTAACCTCAAATCTGCTCCTTCAGTCCTGTCAGTCTCCGTCAGCTCCTTCCTCTCCCTCTCCTCCTGTGTTTAGTAATAAAATTTATTTTATTAAACTCGGATTTACAAGAACAAGGAAATAATTATCAATCAATTAAATATTTAACTGGTAAAAAAAAAAAATTCTCACCTGGCTGGCCTTCGACGGAGCTGCTGCCTCCTAATTTTCATCTACAGGTTGAGAAATTAAGGGGATATAAAACTGTGTTAAGATGATCTTTTCCACCTTAAATGCTGCAGCAGTTTCATTGTTTCGTTCAGTTTCATTTTGGCGCCTCGCAGCGGGAAAACTCAAACTACACTCCGGCGAACAGGAAACAACTTCAGCCTCGTCCTTTTCACTGACATTAACTGTAAACAATATATGGCAAATACTGGTGTCATTACTGCCAAATCCTTAAGAGAAACTTAAAAACCAAGAATATAAAGAGCTCTTAATAACGCTATTTCTGTCCCTCTTGTTCGTTCACTCTCACACTCACTATGAACTGAGGTAAACTAGTTGGCTTGTCAGCTAGTTAGCTGATGTTACCGTTAGCCTAGCCTCTTTTTTACCTCACTTAAACCCAGAGATAACTGAAGTTAGCTGGCCAAACAACCGAGTAAAACACAGATAACCAGCTATACTGACCCTAATTCGCCACAAATCCATACTGTAGGTGGATATTCATTCTTTCACTCTGTATATTACAATAAAGTCTGATGTTTATTTTAGTGAGCTTTTAGCCAAAATCCTGTCCGCAGTTCGGTTACCGATTACTGATTACTTTGCAGTGCGTACACAGAGCCCCTCCCCAAGTCTGATCTGATTGGCTTACAACGTATGAGGTCTGATGTGATTGGCTGAACGGTACGTTAATCAATCTCTGACGCTACAGCAGAGGCAGCGCCTCCTCCAGGTCGCGCCCTGCTATTACAGTTTATTGTGACTGAGAATAATCTATAGATGATTTGGACTATAAATGTACATTTAGTTAGAAACAGAGCCCTTTACAGAAGCCTGAAGAAGCTCTCCGTTCATTTCCATTAACTGCATTCTGGTTTCAGTCCAATAATAAAGGCTCATGTGAGCCGTTTTAGGTCCTGTCCATTTCTACAAACACTGGACAGTCAATCATTTTATCCTCAGGTTCGACCATTACTTTATAGCTTCAAAATAAAAGTTTTTTTTCCGTGACAGTACAGAAAATGACGTGACAAGCGCGTAGCGAGCGGAAGTTCCTCAGTTATATAAAAAGTTATATAAAGTAAGTGTACAATATCAGTGTATATACAATCATAATATTAAGGCAATAATAATAAAGTGACATTTTTATATCCTTTGTTTTATGTACTTCTTTATTTATTATATATTTATTTATTTATTCAGTAATGTATGGATTTAATTTGATGTATGCTTTACTTGGAATGTATAATAATAATAATAATAATTATAATAATTATAATAATAATAATAGTAATGATACCTATTTACAATTATTATCATTGTAGAAGAATTAAATGAATACATAATAATTAAATAATAATAATTTAATTCAAGATCTTGAGACTTTTATTTTTATTGTTATAATGTTTTGTGTTTATTTTTTAGCGATCATTATTAGGAAGTAGTCACTAAAACTCGTTATATAGTGAAAGAGAACAGCTGAATGGTTGTGATTCGGCATGTTTTCTAATTGTTGGGCAGCTTCTATAAATAGTTCATGTACATGTTTTAGAGTTGCGTCATTAAAGCGCATGCGCAGTCTCACGCGCTCCTTCTGTCCGCCGCACGAGAAGCCGATCAGGAAACAGTGCGATGACTGGGTCCAGTTGAGCAGCCAACCAACCAGTGGCAGGAGGCACTGCTAGACCGGTCGCTGCCACCTGAGGGAGGCACAGAGCGGCCACTCACAAGCACTTACAATCAGCACAACCTGTGTGAGCCCAACCTAAAGGGGAACTCCACCGATTTTTCAACAGTGTTACATGATTACATTGTTAAGATGTAAACAAAGCCAGTCAGAGTGGTTTGGTGTGAAATGCTCCATCTAGAGAAACCTTCTTAGTCAGAATTGTTCATGGTGGTGATGATAGGAACCAGATGTCTGTAGAGTTTACTGCCTCTGAAAGCTACATCAAAACTTGAAAGCTTCAAGTTATTACATGAAGTGGTTAGATTATATGCTGCCTGGTGCCTGACACATTGTTTTATGATAGTTTTGTGCTAAGGTTTTGGCTTAAGCAAGGCACCTAACCCCCAAATGCTCCCTGGGCGCTGGGATAGGGCTGCCCACCGCCCTGGGCAAGTGTGCTCACTGCCCCCTAGTGTGTGTGTGTTCACTAGTGTGTATGTGGTGTTTCACTGCACGGATGGGTTAAATGCGGAGGTCTAATTCCGATGTGTTCAGACACAGTTGCCTAAAAGTTTCATTTCATTCATTTTCATTTTAGCCCATTTATTTTAATTAATTAATGGTGCAGTGGTACACATAGAGTGTTGTAAGGCAAAATAGTCCCTAAAGAAAACTTTTTTTTTTTTCAGATTTATGATATTTTACCATTATCACTATTACAAATAAAAACTCAGGAGATACATGTAGGCCTGGTGGTTTTGGATAGTAAATAAAATTGCTATATTTGTGTTGTGGACATCATGACTTCAGGTTCCATTCACCACCACTGTAAAGAAATCAAAGTCTGTACAAGAAACCAAAGTTTCTCTACAATGAACCATTTGACAACAAGCTACTCTGAATGACTCTGTTTATATTGCAAGGGCTGAATTATTCAATCATTTTGAAAAATTGGTGAAATTCCCCTTTAAGGACAGCTCTCCTTGCAGCCACACTCTGCGGATAAGAGTGGACACCCCTGATTTAAATGAACGATTCTTTCAATCATTGTACTTTTTTGAGTTGAATAAAGCTAGTTTAATTGCTTGTTACTACATGGAGCATTTTTTAAGTTGATCTGATGAGCCATTACAGTGACTTAGCAACACAAACACATTTCCTAGCCAGCTAAGACTCTTTCTAATCTGGTTTTAGGACTTTTCACCTGCTTTTCTTTGCACAACAGTTCTTGTTCTGCAATATTTCTGGGCTGGCTTGCATGCACAGCATACTTCCTTTCACCTAGAAAATCTAGTCAAGAGTTGACTCAGTTCTGGGCAAGACACAAAAGAGCAGTGAGTCAAGAAAGACCAGGAAAGAGCACTTGCTAAAGATGATTGACATGATGCAAGTCACTGTGTGGATTGTGTGGCTGTAAAATGTCATAACCAATCAAGACGACCCAGAAAGATATTGATATATACGTCATTTTATGATCAGTGAGTGTGTTTATATATACATATATATGTATATATATATATATATATATATATATATATATATATATATATGCCGAATATGCTATTGGTCCTCTGTGTACCACCAAAACAGTCCCATGGACTCTAAAAGACCTCTGAAGGCCCCTGTGGATCAAGACATTAGGTCCTGCAAGTTGGGAGTTGGAGCTGCCGTGGATTAGACTTAGTCCAGCACCTCCCTCAGATGGTTGATATGACTGAGATCCGGAGAATCTGGAGGCCAAGGCTACACCCAAAACTTTTCGTCATGTTCCTCAAATCATTTCCGAACAATGTGTGCAGGGAATACCATTGCCACACTCGCACTCCCTCCACCATGCTTGTTTTCTTGCCACAGTGCATCCTGTTGTGGCATTGCCAGGTAAACACTGCACCTGCACACTGTACTGTCACGCCACCCACGTGATGTAAAAGAAAATATGACTCATCAAACTAGACCACCTTTTTCCATTGCTCCAAGGTCCAGTTCCAACACTCACATGCCCATTGTATGCATTGTGCCACATTCCTTCCATAACCATCACTAAAAATTTGTTCTAGATGTAGTCTTTCTGGCGGTTTGGCCGGAATAGTCTTCATTGTGCTCGTGCATTAATGAGCCTTGGGTGCCAAATATGCAGTTGCTGGATCGTGGTTTGTCCCTCCTCAGACCACCATCGGTAGGTACTCACTTGCTGACCAGGAGCAACGTTTAAAAGATGATTTGGTGGACACTGATTTGGTGCTCAGGGGCCGGATTCACGAAAGCTTTCTTAAGAAAAAACTTGCAAAGCTTCCAAAGACAAACACTAAGAAGTTCGTGAGAATGTTATTAAATGTAATTCTCGGAAAAAAAATTAAGAAGTTCTCAAATATTATCCTAAGACAATCTTAACTATCTTCTCAAGATTTTCTTTAGTAAATCTTTGTTGTCTTCTTATGTAAACTATGGTGCATTTTACAGCTTACCATAAATGCAGCGAGACACATTTTAAATATGTATTAACTGTTATTTCTGATAATTAATCCACTCAGAGGAGCAAAGGGGAGGAAATACATCAAATTAAGCCTTTAAAAAAATGTAGCAAACAAGAACTACAGGTGAAGGAGGAAGAAATAGCCAACAGGAAAAAAATCTCCTTAGAAAATATGATCATTTTGGGGCAACAGCGGAAAGCAAGAGAAGCGGAGAGGCAGGAGCACGTACAGCGTCCGTGTTTCATAAATTTAGATGCTCACCTTGTCAACTGTTACAGCCTAAGACAAGCACGAGTCTGTCATAAGGTTAAGAAAACATTAAGGAATATAACGTTTTCAGGAATACAATTTGTTCTTACAATTATTCTTAAGAAATAGTTAAGAAAAAAATTAAGAGAATTCCTAAGAAGTTATTCGAAGAATAACAATAACTTTTTTTTTTCTCTTAAAAATAGAACGAAGTGAAGAAAAAACACATTTAAGAAGATTTTCTTTCTTAAGACACTTTTGCGAATCTTCCTTTTTTTTAAGATACATGTAATCTAATAATAAGTAAATCGATTCTAATACAATGTTGGCACTAGGTAACTATACAGGGTCCAAGTGATTACTAGGCATGTTAAAATACATACAAAACACAACACAGTTGTAGAACATTAAGAATGAAAGCAGAGTACTGTTAACCCCTTAAATGGCCTGGACTCAAGTTTTATTACACACTCCCATCACCTAAGAAAGGCCAAACCTTTTCAAATCCCCTGTAGTTACTCAGTAACAAGCTTTAGTGTGTAACAAGCCTGGGATTTTAAGGGGTTAGCGTTCAGACTGAAGTTCTAATAAAATGTGTAACAATTGTGCCTGGTGATCAAATCTCAAGGCAGATAAGTTTGCAAAAAATGACTGTGAATCAGATTATTATTGATCATTACATTTCACTGGTCAGTGTGGTTAATCACTAGTATTTTAGCTAATGTTTCACAGAAACAGTTCAGGACAAGCATAAAGTGCACTGGATAAAAAAAACTCCAGTAAAACCAGTCAAAAACTCTTGACAGGTTCTTGTGAAGTAGGAATGCGGAATCAACATATAGCAGCGGGAGCATTACAGGAAATTCTACGTCAGGAATGAGAAAACGTGTCAACACACGTGAACACGAGGGAGTGACGCTGTTGAATATGTAAATGCAGACAGACAAACAAAACATATCACTTAAAACTCTTAATAATTGTTTGTCCTGTTGTCAGAGCTGGTTGAAACGGCCTAGAAGCACAAAAGTTGGTTCCCTGAGATATACAAATAAATGCGATGTATCTTCTTGCTATATCTTTAAAGTATTATGATGGAAGAAAGCCGTCACTTCTTGTCTTTACCGTTTATTTTTACATTTACGTTTCATGGCATGTGGCAGATGCCTTATTAAATCATGCTATACACTCTTTAGAAAGATAAAGTAAGTAAAGACAGTGGTTCTTTTGAGAACCCTGAAACTTCAAAGAATAATTTGCATGCTTAAATGGTTCTTTGCATGGTGAAAAGGTTCTTCAGATTGTTGTGATGCGTTGTATATTTTGAATATAGTCCTATATTCCCTCTATTGTTACAGTATCAAGCTTGCAACAATTGAAGAACCCCTTTTAGTGCTAAGCAGAACCATTTTCAAAAACAACACATTCTCCATCAATCCAAAGAACAATTTCACCTTGTAAAGAACCATTTGAGCTTGCAGATTGTTCCTTAAGTGTTCATGGTTCCATTTTCAACGATTGTCTTTACTAAAGAACCCTTGAATAACCATCTTTTTTAAGAGTGTAGAGAAATGTAGCGTTAGGTGTCTTGCCCAAGAACTATTGCGTGCTGTAGAAACCTATAGGGGGTTCGAACTAAAGGCTGACATATGGAGGGCAGTATTACTACGCCGACCATACAAGCTATACTATTGCATTAACACTTTGGCAGGTCTTGATGAATGGTTTGTTTTCCTATTTGAATCTGACAAAATTATATTTACGGCTTTGATGTTAGAACTGAAGACAAAGTTCCAACAAGGTAATCCATCTTTTATTGTCTGGTATGCACTGAAAAGATTAACCAGATTGTTCCCCTTTAGCCTGTAAACATTTAGCCAGCAAACAAGCTCTACAGCAGATGTCTGTCATCATGAGCCATTAGTAGGTGCAATCAGTTTTGAGACAATGCATCCTATGAGGAAGCTGCTCAGGTGTTATGACAGTGGTGGTTATGTGGATCTGAGATAAGTCTATGTAAGTTGAAAAGGAGAGCAGACAGCTGTTCTGCAAGCAGAGAAAGCCAGCTAATGAGGTCTGTGGTGGTTGATTGATGTGTGCTAGAATAATCATGGCTATGGTGAAGTAGCATTTGCAGACGAGATTGAATGATTTTAGGTGCTGTACTTTTTTTCTAATTCAACTTTTATGTCCACAGGTGCAGAACAGTTAGTGAAACTTGATGAACCATGGATTTCCTTGCTTTTCTCCTGCTGAGCTTGGCTATCGCCCCTGCATCATTCACGGTGGGTCTACAAAAGGAAACATATAGACTCTATTAGTAATATATTACATTAGAGGTAATGATTCAAATCATTGCTTGAAGGATGTTTATGTATATTTAACATGTGATATGGTCTTTCTCCTCAGTCCCCACCAACAGTAATAGGTAAGCACAATATAATTTTCACAACATAATTTTTAGCGTAGATGTTTCTTCTGTATCTCATGTAAAGCTATTATTGGGCCCCGGGCCCCATTTTGTGAAGTGCTAGTATAGGCAGCCCTCATTTGGTTAAGCTTTAAGTTTTCAAAAAAAAGGAAAATACTTTTTATTGAAATTGGCACTGATAAACAGTCCAGATGGATGAGAACATTCAAACTATGTACACCTGATGTTTACATCAAGCCCTATTCACTCGTGCTTCATATCAGTTTTCCTGTACTCACCGCTTATCATCTGTTGTTTTTAGATGTTGATGATGATCAAAAGGACATCCCGGAGATAAACAAAGGTAAACTGCTTTGTTTTATATATATATATATATATATATATATATATATACATATATATATATATATATATATATATATATATATATATATATATAGGTGCACTTTGTAGTTCTATATATATTCTGAAAAAAGGCACTTGCCCCTTATGTTGTGTCAAAATTTCATCATAAGGAGACCAACAGAAATAGTAGTTTCAAAGTTACCTTATTGGAGATACAAGATTTTGTTCCAACAGCAGTGATATATATGTGTGTGTGTGGGTGTATTGTGGTATGTCTGACTCACAGGGACAAAATTCTTAAATACATACCATCACTATAGGGACTTTTGGTGTTCCTGTAAACCCTGCATGTTTAAGGCTGTTCTTTTAAGCATATAAGCATTTTCACTTTGTTAATGTACACTACACATGACAAACTATTAATGGGTCCATGGTTACTTAAATAATTTAAAAAGTGCCATTTTAAACCTCAGACCAGTTCTGTGTATGAGTTTGTGTATGTAAGTGTCGTTTTAAACCTCAGGCCAGTTCTGTGTATGAGTTTGTGTATGTAAGTGTCGTTTTAAACCTCAGGCCAGTTCTGTGTATGAGTTTGTGTATGTAAGTGCCATTTTAAACCTCAGGCCAGTTGTTTGTACGGATGTTTGTATCCATGGAGCCATGATTTCGAACTGCAGCGACTTACGCTTTTGCACCAAACTTCACCCATTTTTGTGGGCCGAGGAAAATGTACAGTCCCTGGAAGTTACAGACAGACATGTTCATCGTGAAGTGAATCTTTTTTTATGTTCATTTACCAGGTATGTATTTTTTCTTTTATATATCATCCAAAAGCATGAATTTTTGATTTTATAATGCATGTAAATACAATTTAAAAGCAGTGATATAAATATGTAGATATATAGTGTCAAGATGTTTTTTTTAAATAAATGAACTATTTAGGTGAAGAAAACAAGGTGACACTTCTTAAACATAACCTACCGTTGGTAGACTTATCTTGGAGCAACTCTCCAACAGCAATATTATGTACATTTATATCAGATAAAATGTAATCACTGAAAGTGTACTTTCCAACAAAAAAGCTTAGCTTAGCCTATTACATTGAGCTTTAGTTAGCCAGTGGGGCCTCACTGATTTACAAAATGACTTGATCATTGAATGGTTTAGATGTGAACAAAATCATTCAGAGTGGTTCGGTGGGAAATGGGCCTTTCAAGAGAAATTTACAGAGTCAGAATTGTTCACTATTATAGCACTAGGAACCAGACGTCTGACGTGCTTAATGGTTCTAAAAGTTACATCCCGTTAAGTTATTACATAAAATGGTTATGAATGCATTGCTTGATGCCTGAGACATTGTTTCGTGATTTTATAAAGTTTTGGCCTAAAACGTATTTTTAGTATAAACTATTACCCTAGGATAGTTCTGTGTTTCCTCTCAAAACCGCATTCTCAACTGAGATGCGCGCAGGCTAACGTGCTTTTGTTGTTACTAGCCTGAAGCTGCAGCCGTTCAACACGGCTAACGCCAGCAGCAGCTTTAGTTTACAGTTTATTTTTACAGTTTTCTTACCTGTTTTGGAAGATGGCAGAGTATGAGGTCTGTTGCTGGTGTCAACAACAAATGACTTGCTACTCTGCTTACCAGTCTATAAGCTAATCGCTAACAGTGATATGTACACAGTGACTAACGGCAACTAATTTATTTCACTCACAAACGTTTCTTACCTTGATTCCAGTTTCTGTGGTGGAAAATACAACAGAGGGAACAACATTTTTTCACTGGTCTTGAGTAAGTTAGTCTTGGTCGGTTAAGTTGTTCAACTTCTGTATTTGTGTGTAGCTTCAAAAAAAATTGCCACAACTTCAGGATTTCAGTTCAAGATTGTAACGGCAACTGCAAAAAATGCACCATACAGTATTTTATCTGCTTATTTTTGCATCCTGGTACAGCGCAGTTCACCACCACTCTGAACAATTAACAATTGTGATCTATCGCAGCTCCTCTGATGAATAATGTACCCAGAGAAAACATATTTTTTCAAATTTAGCACTATTTTACCATTAACAGTGTGATATATGAAGACTTATGAGACACATCTAAGTTCACTGGTCATTTTGGATAGTGGATAAAATAGTGATATGTGTAGTGTAGACATAATGACGTCTGGTTCCTAGTACTACAATGGTGAAAATTTTTGAGTCGGCAAGTTTCTCTAGAAAGGCACATTTGACACCAAACCACTCTGAATGAGTGTGTTTATATCTAAACTTTTGAATGATTAAATAATTTTGCAAAATCAGCGAAGTTTTCCTTTAAATAGGTTAAGTAACTCAGTAAATGCATTGTACTGCAATGCAATTAAACAAACCTGCTGTTAACGTAACGAGTCAGCAATAGGCCATGTATCTGCGCTAGCAGCTGGAAAGAACAAAAACTTGATTTGCCTGTTGAATATTTTACACCAGAATACTGTCGTCATGGTTAAAATGTATCAGATTTATTTATAGATTTTTTATAGATGCAAACAGGTGAATGTGGGTCAGCACAGGTGGGGTGGGGCAAGGTTGGGCTGTGTGTGTGAGGTAAGCTTACGGCTACCATTAGCAACCATTTTGACAACAGTAATGGTCAGTTCCCGGCAAGGTAAATATTCGGAATGCAATAAAAGTCTGAAACAGCAGGATCATCTCATAATTCCCGGACATAAATCTTTGGATGGTTTATGTTCAAACATATTGGCGTTCACAGTGACCGAACTCTGCAGTAAAATTTTGTTTCCTGGTGTGTATTTTTGAGTTTTGTTCATGCTTTTATTAAACTAAACTGGTGTGGTATTTCTACAGTTAGCAGACCTATACTAAGACTTTCATCATTCCACAAATAAACAAAGCCGAGCGCTCATGGCTGAACACCTGAAGGCCTCAAGGTGTTTCTGATTTATACCATTGACCAGGCCAGCATTTGGTGTAACATTTTTTAGATGTAGTGCCTGGCCAAGACTGAAATATATGATATAGGTAGGAAGTCTGTGCTGGGATTTTGATAAATAACTTTTTTATGATCAAATACGATACTATTTATATGACAAAAATGATGATTATAGAGCTCCTGTCTGTAGCGTTGCACATAAAATCACATTTGATGTTTCTTTTTTTCTCATTTTTTAATGAATACTGGCCTAATTCTGTCTGTTAGAATTTATTTATTTTTTTTTTTAATGGCATTGGTCTTTTCATATAAACACTATTAAGGTGGAGTAACTTAACTCAGTGGTACATCAGCAACAAATGATAGAAATTTAAAATTTAAATACAAATTTATTATTAGTCTTCTATGAAGTTCTCCTGGTTAACTTCAAGATGACACTATTTATCATTATACACACATTATAAATTTCTATGAATGTACAGAATAGGTTTTTCTGCTGACTTTGTTCATTTCATTCTGCCAAGTTTTGTTTCCTGGTACAGCAGCAAGACTGAAAAATATAGAGGACTCAACCCAAAAAATATGTCTCATTATTAGGGAACTGATCAGCACATCATAACTGAAGAAAGAAACAGAAATGAGTAGAAATGAGTGTGAAATTTGTCTGAATTAGCTAAGTAGTTTGTGTATTTTTTATGTGATTTTGATTACATCATTTTTATGTGATTTACATCATATTTTTGAAGATCTGACCTGTAACTGGTTTATAATATGTTGTTAAAATGTGCCATTGATACATTACTTACATTAAATAGGTGTATTGTTGATTTGTTACAAGTAATAGACTTAATGTTACTTAGATTAAGCAAAACCTAACATTACCAAACCTTACCCTTACCCTGGCCCTAATCCACCCCTAACCTCAACCTCAACCCAAAACCTAATTCTAACCCTCCAAAACTTAATCCTTATACTTAATCCTAACCCTGACCTTAATCCTAAACCTAACCTTGACCTCAACTCAAAACCTAACCCTAACCCTCACCCTGGCCCTTATCCTAACCTTAACTTCAACTCAAAACCTAACCCTAACCCTCACTATGGCTCTAATCCTTACTCTTACCTTTACCAAAACTTAATCCTAACCCTCACTCTGGCCCTAATCCTTACCAGTGTGTTTATAACAGCTTGTTGAGGATGTTGAGATGGTCTGTATTAAATCTGTTACATGCTCAGTTCCTCTCAGGTTAAACATCTACAGATACAAATTTAGATTCAGATTATCATTTTTTTACGCAGTTAATTAAAATTCTCTTGATAATCTACTGAATGTATTCACAGCTGCTACCTCATTAATATTCTGCTGATATGTTACTGAGAGTCTGTTGAGTGTCTGGTATAGTGTGTTTGGTATAGTGTAGTCAGTAATACTTCTACTTGCTTTGTTGCACACTGGGAGTTTCTCTATGAAACAAATAGGTTATGTGTGATTGGTATTACACTTTGGTAGATCCTTCCAATAGCTTGTTTATGAAGACAGTAATTTGTTTGTGAGGGCTTATTGTGCAGCTGGGAAAAGTGAAAGGTCATAGTCCGTATTTAAGCACTTGGTTTAAGTAAATTTTTGTGCTGTCTGAATTTAGTCTTATTTTCTGTACACAATAACCATATACTCTTCGTGGTATCAGCAAGTATTAGTATTGAGGTTTTCTGAATGTACATTGAAACGCATATTAATTTAATGCCTAAAATATGTTTTTTAAATTATTCTGTAGATGCCAGTAGCTAAATGGCTGTATCCTGTAATGTCAGTCTCAGGTGAGCCTGCTGATCCACATTTACAGGTAAGCCATTAAAGTCAACTAGCAATTCACAAGTTCAAAAAACGACATCTGTACACCAGGACATCATCAGGTGGAGTTCACTGAAACCAATTCGACTGCATTCCTTGCACCAAGAGATGGAAGAGATTTTAATTGCCAAGATATGGCCTGGGGCTGCTTGTGGAACAGATCATGCATTACTAATGTGCAATCTCTAAGTAAAGTTGAGAAAAAAAGACAATCAAACCATCAGACTTCCAAAATATGACGTGGAGAACATATCACCTGTCTTCAAAGTAAACATCAGCAATAAATTTCAAATGCTGGACACAATTGACAGTAAAACCAGAGGAGCTATGGACGGAACTCAAAGAGGCCATCAAGGAAGAATCAGAGAGACACCTGGGAAGAATGAAGAGGAAGAGAAAGAAATCAAAGTGGATGTCAGTGCAGATTGCAAAAAGAAGAAGAAAGAAATCAAGAAGGACAAAGATCTTTTAAGAGAACTCATGGGTTCCAGACTTTAGGCAGTTACTACTTAAACAGGATTTGCATCCAAGTGTTAAAAATAAACCTTGTAGTTATAACTATATTAGTTAGTCCAATTACTTTTGAACCTGTAAAAATGGAGGGACAATGTAAAAATGATTGTAATTTGTAAAGTTAATGTTAATACAATATTCCTATGAAAGACCTGAATTAAAGCTGAAAGTCTACATTTCAGTCTCATCTTGACTGCTTCATTTTAAATCCATTGTGGTGGTTTACAGAGATAAGATTACCAAAATATTATTACTGTCCAAATACTTATGGACTTGATTTTATAACATAAGAAACCATTTTCTTCGATTTGACTTGAACTTTTACAGGACACATGTCACATGGAATTCTGAAAAAAATCAATAAAATACCATAAATCGTCTTTAAACGCATCATTAAGATCACCAAATAGGCATATGCTTGTTGATTTCATGCGTTGTACGCTGTTATATTGTGAATGAATGTGTTGGCTAATCAGTCTTAAATTGTAGAACAGTTTGTTGGTGGATTTAGGTAAGAGTAGTTTTTCTTTCTATCAGCTCAAATATTTCTAAGACTTTAACTATTTTTTTCTTCTCTTTGTATAGTTTTACAGTTTTGTAATTGTTTGATGTACCCACAACGTTTGCATTAAAATTAAAACGGCCGTGAGTTACAGGACTGCCTAATTTAATGCTTTCAATAAAGAAAACAAAGAGTTTATCCATTATACATTAGCCAACTGCTGACTTGAGTTGCCTGATACTCACAAAATAAAAGATCTGTTTATTATAAAACCTATTTGATGACAGATTGACCATAATAAAATCTTCTTTAAAATACTGGTTGCACTTGTTTAAAATAAAGGTCAGATGACATATTCTTTATAGGTTAGCTTGGCCTTCATTATTTGTTCTTTTATTCCTGGGTTGTCCTCCTTAGGCAGTATCTGCTGTGTGTTGTGGATGTGGCCTGTCCTGATAGACCATGAGTCCTCACTAACACTCCTCTTGTCATGTCACAGTAAAGTTGTAAAAAATCAAGTACATGATATTACCATGATATGAAAGTAAAAACTGTGATTTTTAACTCAGATGTATCAGATAAAAATGTATTTTTGAAAGTTACTTGCACATCAATTACATAAGTGAAAGTGGTGTCCCCATAAACCAGTTAGTAAATCAGGTGTCCCCATATACCAGTTACCAGTATGTGTGTGAGTGTGTGTGTGTGTGTGTGTGTGTGAGAAACTGATCCTGATTTGGCCTTTTCATATATATTCAAACACAATACAAACCAATGGTGTGTGCCTTACACATACAAAAAATACAATAATGTCAGATTTATAGAATGTTATCATTTATTCTTTCATTTATTCATCATTCATTTTTCAGGTTTAAACCTCAGAGAAGGAGATATAATGGAGGTAAGTTTTAAGACAGTATTTCATGGTACATTACTTTAAATACAAATCCTTTAAGACTCTCTGTTGCCTCCACTTAAAAACTAGGACCCTTCTAAACAACTTCAAAGGAGTGCGATTTTGCTGAGCCAGTATCGGTGGAACAGATATATCCCCTACGTGCTGAATGGATCTCTCAGTAAGGAAAATCTTCAAATCTATTGTAGTCTTTTACTGATCTATGCTTGTATTGTTTGTGCACTAAAGCATATTTGGATTATTATTTCAGGCCTGAATTACAAAGGAGTCATCTTAAGAGCCTTCGAGCAGCTGAGACTGAAAGCGTGTATTGATTTTAAGCCTCGGACAACAGAGCAAGACTATGTCTCTGTGGAATCGCAAAGCGGGTACAGTGAATTCTGAAGGAAATCTCTGCATTAGATGTGATGGGTTTTCATTAAATGTACTTCACTATGATTGCTTAAATTACAGCTGGACACTCAATCACAGATTATCCCATTTATCTTATAGAAAAGAGGTTTATCTCGTCGTCATCTTTAGCTTGTTGCATGACGTCAATGTCCAAAACAAACAGGAAACAGAAACTCAACAGGCTGCATACTTCAGCGTAGGCCTACCACAAAGATCATCAAAATGTGATACCTTGTACGTTGCTTTGATTAACAGTTACTGATCTCAGGGTCATTCCACATTGACTCATATGACAGGTCATGCGTTTCAAAACATATTTTAGGCAAAAAAGCAGTCTTATGTGCCTTAATAAGGTACTGTAGTAAGGTGTCGAGACCACATCAAGACAAGGCCTAAAGGTGGCCAAGACTGAGACTGAGTCATGACCGAGAACCCAAGAAATACAAGTCTGCTTCCAGTGCAATGAAATAAAACAATTATGCTAACTAAAGCTACTGAGATGTACCTTTTAGGGGAACCACCCCAGTGACAAGAGGGGTACTGCCCCAGTGACAGTTCAGTGCCTTTATTTCTGATAGTGTATATGTGGTATTGTACAGAGATCTCACATTTGTTTCTGTGTTATTGGCTCAATTAAGAAAATGTTGGTTTGGATTCTTTTAAGCATATCAGATTTGTAAGTTCCAGCATCAAAATTGTATCAAAATGTCCAAAACATTAAGGTTTTAATTGTCTTAACAAGGAGTCATTAGTAGGTAAAGTAGCCAGAAATAAACAAATAAAGTAAGTTAGTATGAGACAGCTTTTCACTATGATTTAAATGTTGAAGTCTTGTGGGTAAATCTGCAAAAAGCCTTTCACAGAAATAAATTATTCTATATTATGTTTAAAAATATTGGTTCCACTCATCACTGATGGCTTCAAACAATTGAAAAACATTGCCAAGCTAGTTTATGTTTAATCTGAGACCAATTGTTTAAATCTGGTCTCTGACTTGGCCAAAACCATCAGTAAACACCATTATTATTATTATCATTATTTTGTGCATTGTGATCACGTATGTGGGGTGGAGTGTGAGCGAATGTAACTATTTTTACAGTTTGTTGTTTCACAGCACACTTTTACCAGGTACTCAGTGTTCTTAATGGCTTTGTGTGGATGTCTGAAGCTGCATTAGAGCAAAAATGTGCACTGGTTGAGGTCCAATTAAGCATTTTCAGCAGTGTAACAGTGTAGATCGTGCACACAAAATTTTAAATCTTATTCCAGTCTCATTCCAGTTATGTGAAAATCTCACTCCAGGCTATTCACCCAAATTGGCAACCCTGCCGGTTTAAAACTTGGTTTTGATTTGCTTGAGTACAAGTTGTATTATTGTAGAATTATATAAGCTGGATTCAATTGAGATCAAAGACTAAACTTGGTGATGCTGATAGCTAAAACCAAGACAAGCTTGAGCACAAATACTATTGAGACTGAATTAAAGTCTTACATAACTAGGAAAGGGCATTATCTTACAATGTGTCTGTATATGTACTGTGATGTCTTGATGGTTTAACATACATGATCAAAGTTTGTGGAAACATGAACTTCAAATCCGTATGTTTGGATAAGTACCCACCACTTTTTTTAATTGAGTTCAGGACATGTCCAAAAAACAAAACTCCACCCTCCTAAACTTCACAGACCACTGACCTATAGGCACAAACAGTCAAATTTAGAGGTAGAACCAATCAAGTCCTCATTTCAGCTGGGGGACAGGGCACTATTCGAACAGTAAAGCATTCCTGATTTTGTGTTCAGTGAGAGAAGCTGCAGCTCACTAATCCAGTAAAAATGTTTTTACTGTGATAAATGGACTAAAGCACTTGGTAACCATTTATGAAGTGTTTCAATGTTGCAAAATCGCTGCTATCACGATCCATAGTACACAAAAAGATCCCAAACCAGATACATTTTGTATTACGAAATGGTTACCATACCTAAAATGACAATGCATGGAAATCTACTTTTAACTTTTAATACTGTTATATAGTGTTGTAGTCAAGACTACTAGATCGAGTCAGGACCAAGACCAGATTGAGATTTTTATTTTCAAAATATATATGTGCATTCTAAAACTCTGAAACTGTACATTAATTATCATTATTATTAATTACATAGTATTATATTTTTTTAATATATTCTGTAAATCACAATATATTTAGTCAAAAACATTCTTAATTATTATTATTTGACTCAAACTTTGCCTTGTAACTGGAAGCGTTAGTGAGGTTATTGTCTTTTCTTCTCTAAAACATATTCAGAATCACCACCTAAAGTCACCTGAACGGAACCTAAACTACATCCATTTTTATTATTAAATAAAAGCATAGTAAAAAATAACATTCCCATCTGCTCTCAAGGGACGTTTGAATTTTGGAACCAATGAGTTTCAAATAGAAGTCAACTACAAAATGACAACAGCTTCAGTGGTTTATGCTCCATTCAAAGACCTTTTCTCTTAACCTTTCTCTTAGTCATTGGGCTGGAACCAAATCAGACAAGAGCTTTTTTTAAGCACCACACAAGTTGCTAAAAATCCTGTGACACAAGTCAAGAATTTGAGTTCCAAAAACTTGCTTAGCTAGAGTGACATTCCAAAAGTACATATGCACCTCCGTCACTTTCCACATAAAACCGGGGCTACAATGCAAACTGCTTTCTTCAAAATCCAGTTTGTGAGAATGTCAGCTATGAAATCTCCCACTGACAATGTGTGTTAAGGTCAAAATATCACAAAAAGGCCATGTACGGTTGCACAGCTGAAGACTTGCATAACAGAAGAATGGCAAAAAATTACACTTTCAAGACTGGATCAGTTTGGGTCTTCAGGACCAAAATGATTAAGTGTTGTTAAAGGAGAGGCAATGTAACACAGTAGTAAACATCCTCCTAATTTGCCTGTGCATCACAAACGGTGGAGAAAACTACACTTAAATGAGGCTTTTTGCATGTGCTAAATGTTCTCAATAGCTCTAAGAAGTTTTTCAAAAACTTTTTTCTAGACATCATTCACCGATATCTTCTTACGTTTTTCAGTAAATTTGTTGTAAGAAAAAGTCTACGTCATATTTATGACGTGTTCTTAAACCACAGAATTGTTCGCACCTTTGTGCTCTTGAGTGGGTGTAGATTCTGTTCTTAACTAAGAACAAACCCCAAATAAGAAAAATTGGCGAGTGTCAGAATCTTCGTGAAAACTGTGGGTGTTAAGAAGAAATTTCTTCTTGAGAGCGGCTGGTGAAAGAGACCTGATGTTAATCTTCTTAATTATTCTTGCTGACTCGGTGTAGAATATTTATATGCTACACAGAGAAGACAAAAGTGGCTTTTCTGCAGAACAGACGGATTCTGCTGATCATTACAGTTTATCTTTGTTGGTTTTCTCTATCCAATCAAATCCTGAAGAATAAAATCAATTATTTTCCACCCATATATACATTCTGCTTTCCGATTCTCATTACCTTTAACTAGGCTGCTTCCCCAGTATGAAAGGCCATCCGCTCCTTCGCTTCTTAATCGTACAAAATACACTCCTGCAACATTTTTCCTTTGCATAGAAAAGTGTCACCTTTGCAAAGTAATGAGGTCACGATTTAGCTGCAAATCATCATTTCAAATCACCTTTCAATCAAAGAACATGAACGCATTCAACAACTAACAACAAAGGGAAAATATAGGTAAACATTCAAGTATAAATTGAACTATAATATCAGAGTGAAAACGAGTCTTTTTATAGAAGATAGAGAGGTGTCGTCCCGAGTAGACTGGGGCAGAGTATTCCATAATTATGGAGCTGAGTCTACATATTGATACTCAAAGGAACTGATGCTATACAGTGATTTATCAAAACACCAAAAACCTTAGTTGGGTTTTAAAATGTGTAAAATATGTTTTAAAACTGAGCCCAAAAAAGGGTTTTAAAGTTTTGGTGTGCTCTTTTAATAGTGCAGTCTTTCACTGATCTTACAGGTGTTGGTCCTATATTGGGAAGATAGGTGGGCGGCAGCAGCTCTCTATTGGAAATGGGTGTGGATACATCGGCATTGTGGAGCACGAGTTTCTTCACGCTCTGGGCTTCTATCACGAACAGAGCCGATATGATCGGGACAACTACGTAACCATCATTTATGAAAACATCATTGCAGGTCATTACCATGTTTCTGAAACCTTTTAACATGTCTCAACTGTGTTTTTGTCCTTTAAACATGTTGGTTTTATCTGAATAAGAGACCGTAAAGCATGGATAAACCAGAGTTAATCATTTAATAAATAAATCTACATCACAAATTTCTGTGAGTTTTCAGGAATGGAATATAACTTCAATATATTTTTTATACAAGCCATGCTAAATCATTATCATACATTTCTGTGTATGTGCTCACTGGTTTCAGGATACGCAAGTAACTTTGAGAAGGCGTCTGAGCAGATAAGCACCATACAGGGAACTCCATACGATTACACGTCTGTGATGCACTACGGACAAGATGCTTTCACCAATGGGAGCGGACACACCATAATCACCAAAGTCCCTCAGTTCCAAGATGTTATTGGTCAGCGCTATGACCTGAGCCCTTTAGATGTGTTGGAGCTCAGCAAGCTCTATAAATGCAGTATGTATTTTTATACATTTTTTCAATGAGCGCCAAAGGTTGAATTGTTTGATTTCACCACACAATGAGTTTGAATTATTTGACAAAGTTTCCACAACCCATTGCCAACCTAAATACACAGTCTTAGGTGAATACATTTAGAATGCTTAAAACATACAATCTTGTAAAGGAACATACAATCTTTAAAAGAAACACCATTAATCAGCACATAGCATGTATCAAATATTCCAGATATGAGAAACTCTAAAGAGGATTGTAACAAAAATCATCTTTGCAAACACTAAAGTCCCTGCTAAAACCTGAGTAAACTGATAAATCAGATGACCAGTTATTAATCTCAGTGTTACTGAACTCTGCCAAAGCCTGAGTAGACTGATAAATCAATGTGATGATCAGTTATTAATCTCAGTGTTACTGAGCTCTGCTAAAGCCTGAGTAGACTGATAAATCAAAGTAATGATCAGTTATTAATCTCAGTGTTACTGAGCTCTGCTAAAGCCTGAGTAGACTGATAAATCAATGTGATGATCAGCTATTAATCTCAGTGTTACTGAGCTCTGCTAAAGCCTGAGTAGACTGATAAATCAATGAGATGATCAGTTACTAATCTCAGTGTTACTGAGCTCTGCTAAAGCCTGAGTGGACTGATAAATCAATGTGATCAGTTATTAATCTCAGTGTTACTGAGCTCTGCTAAAGCCTGAGTACACTGATAAATCAATGTGATCAGTTGGTAATCTCAGTGTTACTGAGCTCTTGAGGGATAAATGAACTGAATGGTCTTCTTAGTACCACCACTAAATGTGTACATAGTGATAAGCTTAGCATCAGTGTTGTACTGGACTCATGCATACATTTGTGGGATGATGGCACATAAATGTCATTAAACATAAATCATGTACCAATTTTTCGAGATTTAGTGGTTGTGATTGGGCGAATTGTTGCCTTTGTTCATGAGACAGATAGTGGTCCTTCTGATGGGACTTGGGGGGGGGGCAGCTGTGGACTGAAGCAGGCCAAAAACATATTGAGAATTCTGTAACTTCATTTTAATGAGCAAAATGTTTCAGGAAACTCCCAACCAGTAACAGTGAGGAACAGTGTGAATGAAGTAAGAACAGCAGAATACTTTACAGAATACATTTAGTATTTCTTGAGGTTTTCTGCACAGATCTGCTTCAGTGTTCTTTGAAATTTCTACTCTGTAACTGACCCAACTCACTGATCATTTCTGCTACACAGACATTCCAAATCAGTAGTTATGAGACATGGGAAACTTCAGTGTTCACAGTGACAAAAAAAGACATAAAAAGACAAAAGATCAATTGCTGCTGTGTTTGTGTGTTCAAAAGCATTTATGTTTTGCTTCATAACAGATTCAACCATTTCCTTTCTGGACCGCTGTAGCTTTGATAATGACATGTGTCAGATGGCAACCTGCTCTTCCACCGCTAATGGATGGAAGATGGCGAGCAATGTATCTGGAGGTCCATTTAGTGACCACTCCAACCTGGCGTCCATAGGTGATGTTTCTAGTTGTCATCAAAATTTAATTTGAATAAAACTGGCATCAATTTGGATGTCATTAAGATATTTTCAATTTTCTTTTTCAGGTGTTCCTGCTGTGTCTATGAACACCACTTCATCAGGTATACATTTGAGGCGGAGCATGTGCTGCTGTTATATATATATATATACACACACACACACACACACACACACACACACACCGATCAGGCATAACATTATGACCACCTCCTTGTTTCTATGCTCATTGTCCATTTTATCAGCTCCACTTACTATATAGGAGCACTTTGTAGTTCTACAATTACAGACTGTAGTCCATCTGTTTCTCTGCATACTTTGTAAGCCCTCCTTTACCCTGTTCTTCAGTGGCCAGGACCCTCATGGACCCTCACAGACCAGGTGTTATTTGGGTGGTGGATCATTCTCAGCACTGCAGTGACGCTGATATGGTGGTGGTGTGTTAGTGTGTGTTGTGCTGGTACGAGTGGTTCAGACACAGCAGTGCTGTTCGAGTATTTAAACAGTGTCCACTCAATGTCCACTCTTTTAGACACTCCTACCTTGTTAGTCCACCTTGTAGATGTAAAGTCAGAGACGATAGCTCATCTGCTGCTGCACAGTTTGTGTTGGTCATCCTCTAGTCCTTCATCAGTGGTCACAGGACGCTGCCCACAGGACGCTGTTGGCTGGATACTGTGGGACTATTCTCAGTCCATCAGTGACACTGAGGTGTTTAAAAACTCCAGCAGCACTGCTGTGTCTGATCCACTCAGACCAGCACAACACACACTAACACACCACCACATCAGTGTTACTGCAGTGCTGAAAATGATCCACCACTACTGGTGCTTGGCTATGAAGGACCCACTGGGTGTTTACAGTGCCACCCTGAGGCAGACCAGTGCTGCATCTGTAGTTAGTTAAGAGTACCAAAGACAGAAGCTCGCCGATTGTGGGTGCAGCAGCTAAACAACAACCTTCCCCCGTATTTGTTTTTTGAGTGTCTATTTTTTTCCTAAAGAAAAGCATAACATCATGATAAGTTTATTATCAAGGACCTTCCAGAATTTTAGATTTCGAGACATTCCAAGACGTCCAAGAGGTTAATTAGGGACCCCCTGTATTTCACAGTTTCGTCACTGAGGGGACATGTAAAAAAAAAAAGATAACAAATCCAATTTAAACAGGGCTTAAGACACGTCTGTTACATTCTGAGAGTGTTCTCGGTCTGCTCAGTAGTTTTATTCGAAAGTATTCATGGGTAATTTACTACAGTGTACTTTCATGCAATTGCTCACTGTTACTTTTGAAAAACTAGATATTAATACAATGTTTGGAGCTTTCAGCCTTATGATGATCTGCTTTAGTGGCACTGACGCGTCTTTGGTTCACGCTTGGTCAAAAGATAAAAATGGCTAATTCCAGCTGTAGAACTGTAATGTCAGTTGCGTTTTATCCTATTTAGCCTGGGCATCTGGGAAACTTCCACTTAGTCCTCAACAATGAGCTTGTGATTCCTACATTGTTCAGCCAAAACAGAAGTAAATTTGCTCAATTTTAAGCAGAAATTTGGCACTTTTAGTTTTGGATATATTGTGTTGGAATGTTGAGCCAAAACAACTAAAATAGAGTCAAATCACTTGCAAACGCTCCTATACTTACAATAGTTATTACTTGTTTTGGACGGTGCTTATGTGTACTATTGTCTGCAGGGCCGTCTTTCTTCATGCACTTCAGCACAAAGACTGGAAAGGAAGGAGACTCAGGCCGACTGGCGAGTAAGGAGATGACACCCCGCAGAGACTGCCACGTCCAGTGCCTGCAGTTTTTCTACTATCACAGTGGGAATGAGACTGACCAGCTCAACATCTGGATCAGAGAGTACCAGAATGACATTGACACAAAAGGAACCCTCAGACTCATGGACCAGATCACAGGTGATGGAACCGATGATTTCCTTTTTGTAACAATGCAGCACAATTCTAACCGTAAGATAAAACTTCTTTAAAACATTACAGTTGAAATCTTATCACTTAAACCAATTTGCCAGTTAATGATATCTACAAGCCCATTTCCAAAAAAGTTGAGACGCTGTGAAAATTGTAAAGAAAAACAAAGTGCAATGATGCGCAAATCATTAAAACCCTATATTTAATTGAAATTGCATCAAAGACAACATATCAAATGTCGATACCAGGAAATGTTATTGTTTTTTGAAAAATATATGCCCATTTTGAATTTGATGCCAACACCACGTTCCAAAAAAGTTGAGACGGGGGCAACAAAAGGCTGGTAAAGTTGTGTAATGCTTAAAAAACACCTGGTGGTTAAATGGCAACAGGACTGGGTATAAAAAAGCATCTCAGAGAGGCTGAGTCTTTCAGGAGTAAAGATAAGGAGGGGTTCACCACTCTGTGAAAGACTGCACGATCAAATAGTGCAACAATTCAAGAATAACATTTCTCCATATAAAACAGCAAAGAACTTTTGTGATTTTCATCATCTACTGTATATAATAACATTAAAAGATTCAGAGAATCTGAAGAAATCTCTGTCTGCAAGGGACTGTGATCTTTGGGCCCTCAGATGGCACTGCATTAAAAACAGACCTGATTCTGTAGTGAAAATCACTGCATGGGCTCAGAAACACTTCTGAAAAACACTGTCTGTGAAAACAGTTCGTCGCAGCATCCACAAATGCTAATTAAAGAAAATCCTATGTTCCTATGTTTAGCAAAAATGGGAAAACTTTTCACTTTCAAAACTACAGCAGTGTCTCCTCAGTTCCCAAACACTTACAGAGTGTTGTTAAAAGAAGAGGTGGTGAAACACAGTGGTAAACATGCCCCCGTCCCAACTTTTTTGGCTCATGTTGTTGGCATCAAATTCAAAATGGGCAAATATTTTTCAAAAAACAATAACATTTCTCAGTTTCAACATTTGATGTCGTCTTTGTAGTATTTTCCTTTAAAATATGGTTTACATGATTTGCATATCATTGCATTCTATTTTTATTTACTTTTTGCACAGCATCCCAACTTTTTTGGAAATGGGGTTGTACTTCTATCAAACCTGATCGGCTATTTTATCAGAAACGCCTCCCATAAAGATGCACTCTGTTTACACTTAATGCAGATTTTGCAGGAGTGTTAATTATACATACAGCTTGATCTTTAGGTCTCAAAATGCAAAATCATTATTATACTGATAAAGATATGATGACAATAGTAGATATTGGGTTCTCTCTGAATACTCTTTTAACACACTCACAATTATCTGATTCATCCGCTTGGGGAGGGGGTCTGACACACTATTATAAAATGTTCTTCCCTACACTGCATGCAATTACATATTTCCAACAGAGAGGTCTCCAAATCCCGAGTGTGAAATCTTTCACTTTTCAAAATTATTTTTGCATTTGAAGTTGGAAACTTAAGTGCACCTTAATCTACCTGATAAAATACCCAATGTAGGTACAAAATAAATTGGCAACTAACAAAGTACATAGGTTTGAAGATTTTAATGAATGATATAAATTATGTGTACCTAATTAACAACTCAGTGTACATAAAAAAAAAATTGTTTTCAGGACCTCCCACTGATCACTGGCAGCTCCGCTATGTTCCGCTGAATGCGGAGAAGCCATTCCTAGTGGAATTTGAAGCACGGAAAGGAGCCGGATATTCCAGTGGAGGCTTCTCAGTGGACGATATCAACCTGTCGGAATCAGAGTGTCCTCATAACGTATGGCAGCTCAGGAACTTCATGGAGCTTTGGAACAAATCTGCACCTGGCACTTACATATTCAGCCCAGCCTACTACTCACCTGACGGCTATCGCTATCAGGTACTTCTGAGACTGATTCAGGACCGCCTTTCCATCTTCGTGCGACTGGTGTCTGGTGTCTATGATGACCAGCTACAGTGGCCCTGCCCATGGAGACAAGTGACTTTCTTACTGCTGGATCAGAACCCTGACATCCAACAGCGCATGTCGAATCAAGCAAGCCTCACAACTGACCCAACTATGATATACGGTGAGACCTTGCAAAAATTAACTTTGTGCTCTCAAACATCATCTGTACAGTGTAAATACAATGTTGATTTCACCCTGTTCATTTTCCACTATGAATATGATCTATTATTCTAAGCTGTCGCAATCTTTTATTTTAGGAGGAAAGTATGTGTGGGGCAAGCCTAGTGATGTGGGAACTCTCACAGTCATCAATGGTAACGAGACAGTAAATGCGACTGATGGATGGGGTTATAGCATGTTTTTGGAAAAAGGCCAACTCGATGACAGGGAGTTTGTCAAAGGCGGTGATCTCATCCTTCTCATCAGCATGCAAGGTTAGCTTTCATTTTACAGTCTGACATTACAAGGTTTTACCCATACTTGTCTACACACAGTGCTGTGCAAAAAGTCTTAAGCAGCCACGAAAGTGTATTTGTGCCTGTAAAAACGTTACAACTTTAAAATAATTGTAGATATTTATGCAGAATCCTGATTTCATTCAATAAAGGACTGATGAGCGAAGTACCCCATGGTACTTGACCGGGTCCCACGTTGGCTCGTTAATCCAGCATCGGTTGGCTGCTAACTCACTCACCATAGCAGTGCTGAAGCTAGCTTCAATGGCAATGTTTTGTTTAACAATTCTTCTTTTAGAAATGCTCTTTTTGGGCTCCCGAGTGGCGCAACCGTCTAAGCGTTGGCCCTATCATCAGGAGATCATGAGTTCGATCCCAGGTTCAATCCTAAGAGAGCACAATTGGCCTCGCTCTCTCTGGGTGGGTAGGATGGCCCCCCTTCTCCCCCATCACTCAAAGCGATGCTAGTCAGCGCAGGCGTCTGTTAGCTGACGTAACAGATCTGGCGGTTGGCGCTTTCCTCCGAGCGCGTTCAGCTGTCCAATGACGCTGCGTGAGCGGCAGTTAAAAAAATAAAGAGGTGTTTCACAGGTCTCGGAGGAAGCCTGTGTTAGCCTTCACCATCCTAGCACTGGTAGTATCGAGTGATTCGGGGAGTCCTAACTAGCGGGTGGAACTAGAGACAACTAAATTGGGGAGAAAATTGGGTAAAAGATCTTATCTCCTCTTCTGGCTTCGGTTTGAGAAATGAGTGATGACTCACACTTTCTACCAATGTCTTGGGAAATTGGGAAGTTTTCAGATTTACAAATACACTGTGGAATGTTTGAAGTTTTTCAGAGGTATCCCAGGCGTAGTACCAGTTGCTTGGCTATGAAGGACCCACTGGGTGACCAGTGTTGCATCTCTAGTTAGAATAGAATACCAAAGATACTTGCTGATTGTGGGTGAAGCAGCTAAGCTTATTTGGATCTGTTCTTATGGTAGTATTTTTAACAAATAAATGCTTACTGCTAGAGCAATGTCTTTATATCTTCTGATAGATGGCCTAGGACTTTGCACAATACTGTATATGGGTCATTTACTTGAGATGCATTTTTTGTGTCAATTATTTTCCCAAAAAATAATGTAATAAACACATGAATTATTCAACAGTACCTCTTTTATGTCAAACAGTTTTCAGTGCATTTTCAAAAGTCTTAAAATGTAGGTGTTGCAACCGTCCAACCATATATGTTGATTAAGTAAACTAACAAAAAAGGTAATTTAGTTACATAAAATTCCACATAAAATAGTTTGGCATGTTTTTTTTTTGTTAAAAAAAAGGCATTTTCGAGTCATAGTTAAAATAATAATAATAATAATAATAATAGTTATAAAAAAAAGATTTTTAAAAACTGTAATTTAGAAAACCTTATTTGTGGGAGATGGCAGGGAGGTCCTTGGCGACATGGACCCCTGTGGCAGAAACTGGCTCTTGGCACATGGAACGTAACCTCACTGGGTGGGCAGAAGCCAGAGAAGTATCAACTAGATATAGTTGGGCTCGCCTCTACCTACAGTTTCGGCTCTGGAACCAAACTCTTAGATAGGGGGGTTGGTCCCTCTTCTACTCAGGAGTGAGAGGTGCCGGGCAGGTGTGGGGATACTCACAAGTCCCCAGCTGGGCGCTGTGCAGTTGGAGATTGTCCCGGTGGACGAGAGGGTCACCTCAATGCGAATTAAAATCGCAGGGAGGAAAACTCTGACTGTTGTGTGTGCTTATGCACCAAACCAGTTCAGAGTATTCGGCTTTCTTGGAGCAAGTCGGCGGGGTTCTGGAACGGGCCGTAATCTTGCTGGGAGACTTCAATGCTCAAGTTGGCAATCACTGGGAGACCTGGAGAGGGGTGATTGAGAAGAACGGCCTCGAATGTTGCCATTTATTGCTTTGTCTTTTTTTCACCTCTCAGCCCACCGCAAATATTGCACTTCAGCCCCCAAGATGAAAAGGTTTGGCCAAGTTAGACAGATAATCAGCTGATACTCCATAAGTGGGGGTGGAGGGACTTTACAATGTGTGTGGCCTCATGTTTATACCCCAGGGAAACAGGAAATGGTCATAGACACCAATGGGGTTCCTGGAGACTAGACTCCCCTCAGAGATGTGCACTTCTTTGCTTTCATTTAAAATGTTCTTGAGGGTGCCAATAATTGTGCACCTTTTAGTTTTTAGAGAGTACACTATTGTTAAATCAACACTAATGATTAGATAAATGGTAGGCCTTTTCTCCAAACGTCTCCACACGTTTCATACAAAAACAATCACAGAAGTGTTTTCCATCGTGCTTTAAATAAGGCCCTCAAGTACTGGAAGAAAATTAAAAATGCTAAATTTTCTAAATTCATATTTATTGTTTATGATTGTTTTGCCGATTTTCTTATTTGGAGCCAAAAATTCAGGAGTTGACTGCCTTTCCTGTCCAAATCAGCTATAATTTGTGTCTTTGTGTTTCTGATTGTGGTCAGACGTCTCAGCGCTGCAGCAGAATAATTCTCTGCCCTGCCCCAAAGTGCCAGCGAAGACCTTCAGTGTCTCTCCTTATCAGGGAGCTCAAGAAGGATCCTGCACAACACAGTAAACAACCATTCACACTTTTCATACACGTTTCATACAAAAACAATCACAGAAGTGGTTTCACATCGTGCTTTAAATAAGGCCTTCAAGTACTGGAAGAAAATTCAAAATGCTTACATTAAATGGTTTCATTACAAGAAAGGCAACTTAACCATCTTCATTTGCTACAACTATTTTTTGTAAATGCCTGTCAATGTGTACCATGTACCATATGGTCTGTCAGCAGATGTGAAGTTTAAATTATATCACTGGACATGTTTTTGAAGATAAGATGCAATAATTACGTAAACCTTTCACCACAACCAGGATCACACCCCCAACCATGACCACGACCACAACCAAGACAACCACAACCACACCCAGAACCACAACCTTCACCAAGACCACCACAGACGAAGACAAGTACATTGATTCCTACTTTTTTTTTTTACTGACAATAAATACACTTGACTGCTACATTTGATCACTTATTAATGCAAATATCAGTGTCAGTATTTAAGGCCATGTTCTCTGATTGAACTTCAATGTTCTTGAAATATAAACTTACTGTGTTTTAGGCAATATGGCCCAATATATTTATAGGCAGACTTATAATGAAGGTTTAAGTTAGGGCTGCACAAACTTAAAGTGCAATGCTTGTGGTGGGCTGAGGGCCAAAAACAAAATAGTATACATATAAAGAAGATATGTGGGTTTTTAAAAAAGGTTATTATTAACTAATGATATGTTAATAGAAAAGTAAGAATTTAATAAACTATATATACACAACCCCACGCTGTGCAAAATGTAAATAAAAACAAAATGCAATTGCGATGTGCAAATCATTTAAACCCTATATTTTATTGAAAGTAGTACAAAGACAACATATCAAATGTTGAAACTGAGAAATTTTATTGTTTATATATGCCTATTTTAAGGTTGACGCCAACAAGGTCCAAAAAATCAATTGTGTAATGCTTAAAAAAAAACAAACAAAAAAAACACCTGGTGGTTGATTGGCAACAGGTCAGTAACATGACTGGGTATAAAAAAGCATCCCAGAGAGGCTGAGTCTTTCAGAAGTAAAGATGAGGAGAGGTTTACCACTCTGTGAAGGACCGTACGATCAAATAATGCAACAATTCAAGAATAACGTTTCTCATCATAAAATAGCAAAGAACTTTTGTTTTTCATCATCTACTGTATATAATAACATTAAAAGATTCAGAGAATCTGGATAAATCTCTGTCTGCAAGGGACAAGGACAAAAACCAGTATTTGCTGGCCGTGATCTTTGGGCCCTCAGGCAGCACTGCATTAAAAACAGACATGATTCTGTAGTGGAAATCACTGCATGGGCTCAGAAACACTTCTGAAAACCACTTTCTATGAAAACAGTTTGTCGCTGCATTTACAAATGTAAGTTAAACGCAAAGAAGAAATCATACATAAACAGGACCCAGAAATGCTGCCACCTTCTCTGGGCCCGAGCTCATTTAAAATGCACTGAGATTTGGAAAAGTGTCCTGTGGTCCGACGAATCAGAATTTAACATTTTTTTTGGAAATCATGGACGCTGTGTCCTCTGGGCTAAAGACCACTCAGCTTGTTATCAGTGCACAGTTCAAAAGCCTTCATGTTCATGAAGGTATAGTGGTGCATTAGTGCACATGGCATGGGTGACGTGCTCATCTGTGCAGGCACCATTAATGCTAAACGATATATACATGTTTTGGCAACATATGCTGCCATTCAGACAACGTCTTTTTCAGGGATGGCCTTGATTATTTCAGCAAGACAAAACCAAACCACAGTCTGCATGTATTACAACAGAATTGCTTTGTATTAAAAGAGTCTGGGTGCTAAACTGGCCTGCCTGTAGCCCAGACCTGTTACTCACTGATAACATTGGTGCATTATAAAATGAAAAATACAACAAAAGAGACCCCAAACTATTGAGTAGATGAAATTCGATATCAAGTAAGAACGGGAAAACATTTCACTTTCAAAACTACAGCAGTGTCTCCTCAGTTCCCAAACGCTTTGAGTGTCGTTAAAAGAAGAGGTGGTGAAACACAGTGGTAAACAAGCCCCCCTCCCAACTTTTTTGGATCGTGTTGTTGGCATCTAATTCAAAACGGGCATATATTTTTCAAAAAACAATAACATTTCTCAGTTTCAACATCTGATATGTTGTCTTTGTAGTATTTTCCTTTAAAATATGGTTTACATGATTTGCATATCATTGCATTCTAATTTTATTTTATTATTCTGCAGAGTGACCCAACTTTTTTGGAAATGGGGTTGTAGTATTAAAATGTCATTTGGTGAATGAGTGGATTTAGGGCAGGCTTAACCAAACGTCCTCATGGATGTCATTTGATCATTTTAGGTATGTCTCTCAACAGCATGTCATTCCAGCTCAGTGAGGACTGTGTGAGGCTTTTGGTCAAAGTTTCTTTACATACAGTGTTTGGTTGAAGCTGCGTAGGTCTCTGTTAGTAGCGCGAAACCATTTCCATATATTCTATATATTCAATATGTCAAACCGTATATTCAAAATATTCAGTATTTTCCCAGTTATTTGATTCAGTTGACACAAAACATTAATGTGTTGGGATTTTTTTTGTTGTGCAAAATGTTGAAAGCAAGTTCTCAGTTAAACCGTTCAGTGGATCAAGTAAATTATTACTGATGTTTCAAAAAAAACACTGTTTACAAGTACTTTCTGTTTATCTCTCTCTTTCAGGGAATGCTTGGACATCTTTTGTTCCGGGGCTAATATTGTGCATCCCTCAGTCGCCCTCCTGCTGGCTTTCATGCTCTTGGTAGTAAACTAGCAGTCAGGAAATATTCATCAGAAATAAACTGATAATGCACTAGTAGCCAAGTCAGAATCCAAAGCCATGCAAATGTAATCTTTGCCAGTTTTGTTGGCCATTATGTACCAATCATCTAATGAATTTGGTTATGGTTATGATTGTGAGTCTAAATCAAGGAAATCAAGATCATTCTGTAATATAAATTTTTAGACGTGGCGATATTCTTATATTCAAAAGATGATTGTTTTTAGCTTTTTAATTCTGTTTAGCCCAATTTACTCATGACATCCAGGAACTTGACACTTGACAGTTATCATTTACAATACTGTTTTAGGGTCTCTTTGCTATTATCTAAAGAAAAGAAAACAAAACAGTTAAACCAAAACAAGTTATGCCAGCTTTTTACATTATTTTATCATTGAAAGCATGTGTTTAACATGATCTGATACCTGATAATGCTGGCCAAAAAAACCTGACAGCACTAAATCAGCCTGCATACTGAACTTTTTTGAGTGAGACCTTAAATCAGGATTGTAAGCACTTACATTAATCTTTTACACAACATGAAAAAAACCCTTTTTTCAGTATAAAAATATATATAGGTTACGGAACTTTTTACATCTGACTTGACTTTATGATACACAAAATATATTCGCCATTGTTTTTTCATGAATCAAACCTTAATGCTTGATATGCTTTGGACTGTTAAATAGAAGTCATGTTTCCTTTTAATTACCAATCAGCTGTCCAATCTCATTTGTGTTTTCTGTGTAAAAATCAAATATGAGATTAAAATTTGGTTACAGATTAAAATTGGCCTTAAGTGAATTTTACTGCATATATTAAAGACATTTTGTCTGGTATCGTTAATGAAAGTGGATCAGACGATAAAAAACAGACAAAACTGCAGTAACACTGACGTGGTGGTGGTGGTGTGTTAGTGTGTGTTGTGCTGGTCTGAGTGGATCAGACACAGCAGTGCTGCTGGAGTTTTTAAACACTGTGTCCACTCACTGTCCACTCTATTAGACACTCCTACCTTGTCAGTCCACCTTGTAGATGTAAAGTCAGAGACGATAGCTCATCTGCTGCTGCACAGTTTGTGTTGGTCATCCTCTAGTCCTTCATCAGTGGTCACAGGACGCTGCTCACAGGACGCTGTTGGCTGGATATTTTTGGTTGGTGGACTATTCTCAGTCCAGCGGTGACACTGAGGTGTTTAAAAACTCCAGCAGCACTGCTGTGTCTGATCCACTCAGACCAGCGCAACACACACTAACACACCACCACCACGTCAGTGTTACTGCAGTGCTGAGAATGACCCACCACCAAAATAGTACCTGCTCTGTGAGGGTCTAGGGGGGTCCTGACCACTGAAGAACAGGGTAAAAGAGGGCTGACAAAGTATGCAGAGAAACAGATGGACTACAGTCTGTAATTGTAGAACTACAAAGTGCACCTATATAGTAAGTGGAGCTGATAAAATGGACAATGAGCGTAGAAACAAGGAGATGGTCATAATGTTATGCCTGATCGGTGTATGTATATATATATATATATATACACACACACTTGTGTATGCAGTAACTCCTGGAGAGTGTGATCTAATGATAGAACCACTAGATGGCAGTCAAGTTGTTTCAAATGTTACACTTTTAACAACGAACACAGCCATCCAGAAACTGAATGGATGTCTCAGAAGACAAAAAGAAACACCAGCAACTTTTCACAACATGAAAAAAGCAAACAAAAACCTGTAATTTGATGCTCTAGAAGAACAAGAAAGGTTTTACTCATTTACTCGTAAATTAAAGTCATAAATAAATGGAATCATTCGATTCATAAAAGAAGCCAAAAGACACAACTCAATTGTCTACACAGTCAGCAGGTCTGAGGAGGGCTGTGAAATTCTTTTCCCGTGATATTAATATGATTTGAATAAGATCAGTGCCAAAACACCAAAAAACAACCTTGTCGGGTCATCGTTCTGCAGCTGGCATCATTCCCACATTAGGAAACCAAGGGTTGAAGCTGATTTCTCAATGTGAAAAATCAATAACGCTTTTAAAAGTCTTCGCTATTGGCCCTGTTTTTGTTCTATGCATATATTTCCCCCCAAATTTCACTGGATCCTTAAAATTATGAGGTCATTGAGCACCCAAAATATCAGTATTGCTACATCCTGTCAATGGAATAACTTTGCATGAAAGCAATTCTAATACTACACGTTAACACTATTATATACCAACACCACCTACTCAAACTTTAGGCTGCAACTGCCAAAGCAACTTTACTACACCTGACAAAGCCTGCTGGTTAGTATGGTGTGTTTTGGTGAATTTGCCAGTCTTATGATGTCAGTTCGATGTGCAGCCAGCTTGTTAGCTTGCATGTAGTAATAATCATATTTAGATTCTTTAACGACCTCGTCATTTTTAGAGGATCCAGTCACGCTCAGCAGAACAAATGTATGTATTGCAAAACGTATCCAGTTTGGAACATTTCTGTTTACCACAGGGTGCGAGAGCAATTTTCAAAAAAGATTTAGGCTCAGTTCTTAACACAGGCATGACATGGACCAACTTTAATATAGTTCCACTGAACTAAAGGGTTAAACAAAACAGACTCCTGTTGGAATAGTTAATTATGTGAAAGTACGGTGCAAACCATCGGTCATCAATCATTTCAAAAAGGCACCAAGTCCACTCCATTCTACAGAGAAAATACATCCAGATGTCATTACAGAATTTGTAACTTTTAGATCTATTACTGTTTCACGTGTAATTTAAATGTAATTTAAACCTTAAATAGAAGTTGGGAAATATGTTGTCACAAAGATTTGTCACACCAGTCTGAGGGCATCGTGGACATCATCAGCACCCAATCACAACACTGACCAGCTACACTTCTTTAAAAACAGGCCTGTTTCAGCTTCACTCCATTGACAGGAAATCACAGGATCGATTCCCAGCTGATGAGAGCTTAACTGACTCTGATGTGGAGATGCCCATTTTTAAATGCTGCACTATTGATGTATTGTGTCTGTTCCAATGTACATCATGAAAATGTCATGATATTTGACATTTTTGCCATACTGCCCACCTCTACCGCTGTAGTTCCAAGTTAAAGGCTCTATGAGGGCTCCCAGGCTGACTGAGGCCGCCCCCAGGCAGGCTTAGCAACGACAGGAACCTCCCTTCTCAGCTCCTGCAGTCTCTCTGTACGCCGGCTCTCAGTTTCCATGGCGTCCTGCTCTTCTAGCGACTGGCGGATGAGGGCTTTGAGGCGGGGAAGTCCGAGGCCGGTCAGGGCGGAGACAGGAACGGTGTGTTTGAAATGGAGAAAAGTGCTGGGGATCATGTCCTCAGGCAGGAGCTGACTCAGCTCTGAGCAAGAGAAAAGAGCAGTGAGTCAGGAGAGACCTACACCAGCAGATAGAACTGTGTGGTCAAGCATTCGTTAAAGATCACTGACATAACACAAGAAGGTTATTCAGAAAGATTGTGTTGCTGTTCCAACCACCTGGCGACAACAAGAAAGCTATATCTTGAATTACCATTCAATACAGTCAATGTTTCATCAGTGTTTTCAATAATATAAAAGCATTTTTGGCACATACATATATAAAATAGCTCTAACACTATGCGTGTACTGGAAAATGACAGCTAGCATTAAGAATAAAATCACTAATAATAACAATACTACTAACAATAACATCACAAATGAAGTTATCTGTGTCATCAATATTACATACAAAAGAGAGCCTCTGAAATTCTGAACAGCCGTGTATGTTTTTCTTGTCTTACAAACTCGTCAATCAGAGTTTTGCCTCAGTTTCTACCAGAATCGTAACCCAAGCCTTGCTGATTTTGTCCATTTTTGAGTAACATGCTTACCCTCCTGATTCTCCAGCTGTGCCTCTAGGTCTCTGAGCTTCTCTTCAGCCTCAGGAAGGTCCATTTTATTGACCACCAGGATGGCCGGCTTGGCCAGAAGCTCCTCTTTGTACAACTCCAGTTCCTGAGGTAGAAGCCAAAAACCAGAGCAAGGTTAGCACAAAAAATTAAACAGAAAATTAAAAGCATGGCGAATAGACTGAAAGCTTGTATTGAATATATATTTAGCAATAATATTCCATAAAAGAAACGATAAAGAATATTGACAAATGTTACTGACACCATATATGGGCAAGAATCATTGTAATATACTTGACTAATGAACAAAGGTATAAAGAATGGTAGAGTGATTAAATATTAAGGGCCAAGTCCAATTAACTGCTTTGGCTATACTGTGATCAGGGGCCCTGGGCTAACTCCGTATGGGGGCCCCTAAAACACCCCTATCAATCCAGCTCTGGGGGATTTCCAAGGCACCATAAGAACATTTAATATTGATTCACATGAGAATAAAACAACCTAAATCAGTCTCAGAATTGTTCACGGTGGTGGTGATAGGAACCAGACGTCCACCTCTAAAAGCTCCCTCACAGAAAGTTATTACATGAAATGGTTGCATATGCGCTGCAGGATGTCAGACATTTTTTAAGGTTTTGACTTAAAATCCATTTTTTTAGCCATTCATGGTGGAGGGGTACAAAACAGTCCCCAGTAGAAAACTTATATTTATGATTATTTTACCATCATCAATATTACATACAGTATAAAAACATGACACATGTAAGTGGTTTTGGATAGAAAATAAAATGGCTATATTTGTGTTGTTGATATATGTATACATTTAGAAAAATTATGGAGTTCCACTTCAAGTCTCCAGCATTCCTTGTTGAGCACGATTCCAAAAATCATGCTCACACGAGTTGGTTATGAAATTTATTAAAAATCCAATCACATTAACTAGATCTACTTTGAAGACAAGGAGCTTATTAGCGTTAGAAATAGGGAGCTGGTGGATGAGAGTAAAGTGATTATTGTTGTAGTTCATCATAGCAAGTTTTCACAAAGACGGTTTGCACTATAAGAGCATAGTTCCATCTGGCGTACATATAAACCAAAGGTGCTGGAGTGACACTCAGTTCATGCCAGCTCAATATAATCTCTGCAATGCCAACAAAAGTCCTTGCAAAACTATGGACAATGTAGAAGAACAAATCTCCAGCTACACAAGTGTCCTTTCCAGTTACTTTTATTATTCTTCCATTTACAGTAATCAACAGGGCTGCAGCCCCTAAATTCCATGAGATTAATACAGTCCTGACTGTGATTCATCAGACACTTAATACACTAAATAATAAATATTGATTGAATATTGTTTAAAACATTTTTAGGCATAAGAAAAGTTTAAGGCAGGACTTTCATTTAAGGCTACGTTCACATTACCAGGCTGAATCCAATTGTTTGCGTGACACACGAGGACACACAAATCTGATCTTTTCAAATTTGACCTGAGCCACTTTCATATGTGGTGCTACATCGGATACATATCTGATTCATGGCTGTGTGACCTTAATGAGAACGCTCAGATAAAAATCGTGCTGAGCTGCACGTGTGCCATCATTCAGCGTTGTGGTGGCAGCGGCGCCGAACCTGAAATTAGAGCCAGTTAACGATGGAAAAGTAACACATCAGACCCTTTTCGCCTTTGACTTGCTCTAATAATGAACAGCTGAGAGCTGTTCAGAGCTAATTAGATTAGCAGCGAAAGCTTATTCTGCTGGTTAGTTTGTTTGTTGTTCATGACGCACGTGACTCATTCGGGGGAAAGTACTGAATACGATGTGTGCATGCAGGCCGTTTCGGGTTTGATTAAGATCTGACAGGTCAAGATAAAATAGTTCACAATTTTCTATTTAAAAAGCAAATCTTATCTTAATTTAGGAATCTTATCTTACAACATATTTTATTTTAACACAGGGAACCTTCACCTGCTCGATCAAAGTCGACACTGAACTGTTCATCAGAGCATCGCCGCTCTCCAGTTTCAGTTTCCATTTGCAAAATGCTTACAGAACTGTTGTTCTGTAACAGCTACACTCTTAAAAAAAGATGGGTTCCTTAGTGAAGAAAATGGTTCTATATAGAACCATGAACACTCAAAGAACCCTTGCAACAACATAAGAACCCTTTCTGGTGCTATACAGAACCCTTTTCAAAAAGGTTCTATACAGAATTCCATCAATCTGAAGAATGCTTTCATGATGCCAAGTTTAAAAGGTTTTAATCATGCAAACGGTTCTTTGAGTGGTCATGGTTCTACAGAGAACCATTTGATCCACTGAAGAACCCTTCAGGTACCATCTTTTTAAAGTGTGTACTGTCCTATTTCAGAGTTAGCATGTTTCTGTGATACTGTTTCCTTATCTGGAGTTAATGAATAAGATTATGAATTTAAGAACTGTTGTTCTGTAATGGCTTCTGTCTTGAATTCAGTCCTAACTGACGTCATCATGGTGACTAAACAGATAAGATTTCAGAGTTAAGATGTTTCAGTAATACAGCCCCAGGTCTGAATAAGCCTGAATAGGTTTTCTCACTGCTCCAGTTAGCTAGCAAGGCAGCACCCTCTCATTTACCAGCAGAAATCAATGTAATTGAGATTATTCCAGCCCAGCTAGTCTAGAGCAGTAGGAAGCTTGTTTCTAGTCAATGTAGGGAAATGCATCAAATTCTGCAGAATTAAAAAAAGGTGTTAATAAAATATTATTCTAATTATTATACCATTTTTTAGTCTTGTAATTACAAAAATGTATCAAATAGTTGCACCCCTATACACATCATTATCTTGCCCACATCCTACTTGTATATGATGACTGTAAAGTATGAAACATGAAACTAGTGAGCCAAAACAGGGTCATTGACCTTACCTTTGTAAGCAGCTGCACTGCCTCAAAAGCAGATCTAAACGGTGTGTTACTGGCCAGCTGAAACCCGCACACATCAACCTGCAGGAGAAGACAGACAGTTTAGATACTGCATACAAGCATGTCTCAAACTCAACTCTGAAGTCAGTGATTCCAATCATTCGACGAACCACAAACATGAGCTGCTTCGTTCTCTCAACATGCTTTAGAAACTTGTGGCCCATGCCTCTGTTCATGTGAGCGCCCTCTATCAAGCCAGGCAGATCTGCAACCGACACCTACGACAGGAAACAAAGGCTTGTTACTCAGAAGCTCAAATATGCCATTTTTAACTGTATTGGTTATCAGAGTCAGAGACCACCCTTCATTTATTTATAAGTATCATAATTTCCAATCTAAAAGGCCATTATGTTCATGTTGTTAGCTTCAGTTTTGGGGAAAAAAAGGCAGGAAATTCTATTTAATAGAAAAGCAGTATTTAATGTGTCCACTCTTTGCCTTCATATAAGAGCTTACAAACTTTTCAGGAGAAATCTACAGCGATGTTTCCCCACACCTCCAAAGTTCAGTCTTAAAAGTTTGTTTAGCATTTTCTGCTTCTCAAAATCCAAGATATCCAAACACATTCAGTGATGTTGAGGTCTGGACTCTGGGGTGGTCGGTCCACAATTCTGAGAACATCAGCAACTTCTTTATTTGATGTGTCAACTTGCTTCTTTTTTGTCCCTTTCCTTTTTCTTCTTGACAGCTACACATCCTTTCAGACCCATAGCGCTGAGTTGTCTTCTCACAGTGGAAGGACGGCTGTGGATTTTTTCAGATCTGAATCAACAGTTCAGCTTGATTTTCTTCTCTCTCTCAAAGATGGAAGCTTTAAGTGCTGTTTATCTGATGGGGACAGTTTTGGTTGGTCTACCTGGTCTTGCATGGTGGCTAGGAGTCCCATTTTCTCTACAAATTTTAATACAGTTTTGGAAACTGCACTTATTATCCTTTGACTTTCCCCTTCCTTATGTAAGTGGATTATCTCATACTTCTCATAAATATCTCCTGGAAAATGAATAACTTGTAGTTAATAGCCATTTTGTCTGGAAACTAAATAAATGAAGGGTAGTCTCTGACATTTTAACAGTACTGTACCTGCATGTTTTATATAGGCCTGTCTGTGGTGTAGAAAAGTGAAATGGTAAGGTTGCCACCAGGTGTGTACTTGCACAATATTTGTATTTCGTATAACCACAGCTGTTTGCATATACAGTCTTGTATGTATTTACATAATAAAATGCACAAAGCTAAGAAGGAGAACGTAACGAAGGATCAGCTGAGGTCACACTACGGTTTCTGAATAACAGTATGGAGCTAAACTTGTAAAATATAATTCACAAAGCTACTCTGACAAAGGCTGGGGACAACAACGAAGCACTGATGAGGTCAGCCTCCTTTAATGGACTGCTAGGTGGTAAGAGGTGACCGGTTAAAGTGTGCAATAAGCAGCCTCTGAAGACCACAAAATTCAGAAATATCATGAAGTTAAAAATTATAAAGCAAAATACAAGAAATTGAAAAGACAATTCTAATGTTAAGAAAACAAAAAACATGTTCGCTTTATAACCGTGTAGAGCAACTTGATCAATGGGAATAAAAGCGTAAGTGACCACAGCGGTCATCATAGCTACACAGATATGCAGCGCATCTACTTAGACCAATCACTTCTAGGTAAACAAGGCAGAAGGTCCTCTCATTAAGGCCACAGACCACTCATATCTGGCTGTATACGTTTAACAAGACGCAGGTTCAAAATAAAGCAGATACCTGCTTATGGTCCTCATATATGACCTTCCCAATCTCGGGCCTCATGGTTGTGACTGAAAGAGAAAACAAAGGAAACAACAGTTTAACAATGTGTTCAAAGGCATGTTACAACATTAATAGAGGTGTCATACTATCTGAGCACGCACAGTGAAAATTTGCAAAGTGAGAATTTAAAGGCTCCTAATGGTTTATTATGTAAATTCATTGCCAGCTCTGTTCACAAACTTTGATTCCAAAAATTTAGAACAGTATGTGAAATGCAAAAAAGTACCAAAAAAGCTGTCTTTTGTATTTCCACCCAGGAGCCCTATATTAGGGGTGAGAATCTCAAGGCAAAACATGAGTCGATTCAATTACGATTCAGAGGCTGCGATGCGATTATAAAACGATTAACGATGCATCTCGATGAATATTTTTTTTTATGATCCATAATGAATTTACTTCCAATAACTTTTATTAATAAAACAAACGGAACAATGTGGCAAGTGAACTGGAAGGCTCTCATTCACTGCTCGTCTGGAGCACATGAGACGCTGCTGCCACATGCGCAGTTGCGGTGAAATAAGATTCTGTGGCGGTGGATGTCAGCGCGTCATGTATTACAGCTCCTTAACTTTCCATAACTTCGGTTTTGGTCTCGTTTACATGTTTTTACAAACGGTAACTGATTTTGGTAACTCATGATATTTCATACTTTAATGGACCGTCCTGTAATCACAGGTTATTGTAGGCATTTTACAAACAGTAGAGCTAACATTTATGTGTATGTTTTTTTCTGTGGTGAGTTGAGTTGTCCAGCAGTCTCCCAGCCCACACAAAAAAGACACAAATGGATGAGTGAGAAATCCGACCGGCACCCTCCGCATTTAGCAGACGCTCTTATCAGAGCGACTTACAAAAAGTGCTTTGTCTACCTAGAGAAAGTATCATTGCTAGTTACAAAAAGGTTAGAGAGAAAGCCAGTCCTGAGCTCAGATACTGCTAGAAACAAAAGCCCATGTTGATACCTAAAGAAAAAGGAAGAGAATTAAACACAGCACAGTGCAATACATTTCACTGTTGAGAAACGAGAGTTGGGGTCGCTGTGTTAGGGAAATATCTTTGAGACGAGACGCTGTATCTCGGCTCCAAAATGTGCAACATAGTGCGAAAGCCCTTGTTCTCAATGACTGAGCACGGACACAAATCCTTGCGATAGAGTTTATAATTCGCTTCCCGAGTTGGGTGGAAGCTTTGACATCGCTTGCTCGATGGTCCTCTGGTTGGCAGCAAATTCTGCTAATTCACCACCCTATAACCCTGAAGGGTGGCATGCAGACTGCAGGTCACATAGCAACGCAATCTCGTCTAGCTAGTAACGTTATGCAGCGGCAAAGAGAGAGATTTAAGATAAACATCTGGAGACGAATGGACTTGTTTGCATTTATAAGCACTGCAGTTGGCTTACTGATACGTTACATCTGCAACGAGAGACTGTCGAACACTAAAAAGTTGCAAAGATGAAGTCAGTTTCTCTTTCGAATTGTCCCATTCCACCTTAAATGGTGCCGCATTTACATCCTGGCGCCTCGGGCAGAATTTAAGGTGGAACAGGAAAATTCGAACAAGAAGTTGGCAAATAAGAAGCGACTTCAGCGGCTTTTGCCTACTGTTAAAGCTTATAGCAGAGCAAAGTAAGTCCGAATTTTTGTTTATATTGTTTAGCCTATACTAGGACATTATCACACACTGAGACATACTGGACATTAAATGTTGTGTCTCCCAAGATGGTTTCATTTTTGTTGAAAAGACAAAATGGCTCTTCTTATCATTTGGGTTGTGACTCCTGACCTAACCTGGCCTTTAATGCAGAGGGTGCCGGTCGGATTTCTCACTCATCCATTTGTGTCTTTTTTGTGTGGGCTGGACAACTTAACTCACCACAGAAAAAACATACACATAAATGTTAGCTCTACTGTTTGTAAAATGCCTACAATAACCTGTGATAACAGGACGGTCCATTAAAGTATGAAATATCATGAGTTACCAAAATCAGTTACCGTTTGTATAAAAGCATATTTCACAATGTTCTTTTGAAATTATACAAATCTGTGTCCTGCATACAAATCTGATGGTACTCACAAGGGTAGCTGGCAATCGCAGGAGTGGCATGAGACAGGGCAGTCAGTAAAGAGGATTTACCCGCATTGGGGAACCTGTTAAATTCAAAAGGACAAAAAATGACGACAATAATAAAAATTAAATAATTAAATTCTAGACATATACATATATACATTCTAGACGTATAAAGACATCAGATTTTCTAGCAGATAAGTAAGCGTTTTGCCACAGATTTACAGGACAACTACATTTTATGCATTTGTCCCCATTTCCTATCATTTTACTGTGCTAGGAGCAATGCTTATACAGTATTACAGCTGTATTCTCAGTGCATTTCTGCTTCCTTTATGTCATGACTAGGTTGAATTCTATATAAAATGAACAGATAATTATTTTGCTTTTGTATGTAGCTCTTGTGCTCTGCCATTCGCACAAAAAGCCTGAAACACATGTAAATATGGCTGCCCTTGTTCATCAAAGCCATTAGAGCCATGAAATCACTGCAAATATAAGATGTAACCTTATCTTTCAGAAAAAGGCTTATTTTGACGTACATCATGTCCCAGAAATCTAGGCTTTAGAATAAAAAAGCTGTAGAGTCCACCAGAGTACGTCAGTAAGAGTACTGCTACTGCACTGATAATTCACCAGTGAGTGATAAAGAAATGTACTCAAATGGAAAACTACAAATAATATTTTAAGTTATCTTTTTGTAACAAAAACTCAGTAAACACAGTAAACACAGTACGGCACATGGCAGATGCTCTTTTCCAGAGCCACTTACAATTTAATCACGTTATTGAGGGAAGTGAAGCTGACATTAGGAGTAAAGAAATGAACTAGGCAGAGAATTAAACCCCACGGAGGCCAACAGTAGCCACATTTACATGCAGACTAATAATCCGTTAATCGTCCGACTAATAGCTCAACTGGAATAGAATACGTCCATGTACACACTTCAATCGGAATAGTCTAGTCCGATTGAGGCCATTTGGAATACAATTTATATCTGAGTGAACGAGGTGGGTAATTCTGTATATAATCCGTTAAATATAGGAATAATATCTGTGTGAACGCCTGTATCTGATTACATTCCCAATCGGAAAGTTTAAGTCCGTTCTGATCATGTTCGTCACGTCATAGTGAAAGTTTATAACGTTCAACATGGCAGAGCAGAAACTGGTCTGCAGAGGAGACGAAGTTTATGCTCTGATCTTTAAAAGACGGCGGTGGGACGGGCGTCCAGTTTATGTGTCTCAGAACACGACGTCTTCTTTAATAAGTACATGTACATTTTTCTGAGTCTGACATATTTTTAAAGCAATTAAAAACACAACTCATCTCACTGACTAGACCTTACGTGATGTTCGTTGTCATGGTAACGTTTACTCTAAGCGGTACTCCACGCATGCGTGTCATTTTGGATCAAATTACTTGTAGTGAGCGAAGATTTTCCATCAGATTGGTGAGCAGAGTGAGCATATAAACACCTCAGTCCGTATCTGTAATCGGAATGTATTCAGTCGGATTGGGAAAAATCTTTGCATGTAAACACAGCCAGTGTTGCCCACTACATAGAAAGCCCACTAGGTAGGAGGCATGCTTTATAATGAAAAAGCACATGTAACTGCAGAGTTTGAGCCACAGTATACACCTGAAAAGTCGTGTGGTTCATGTAAAAGACAACGATTTCTCAGAAAAAACCCAAAACTGGGCTGAAACTGGACTACATTATGTCTATGTAGATTCTCCATACATTATCATTTTAGGACAAAAATATGATCTTCCAAACAGCAACTTTTCAACTTTAAAGTAGTCTATTAGACCTGCTGCACCACTTCCCTACTAAAAGGAATTGAAAAAGAAACACCTAAAACTTTCACAGAAGATGAGTAAGATAAGATATTCTAAAAAGAACGTATTTATTACTGAGTGTCAACACAGCCTGGGCAATTTCCAAAAATAATTAGCAGAATATTTCTTGTGCTTGGAATTATTAATTATAACACACAAACACACATAGTCAGGCCACTACAGACCTACTTTCTATACAAATTAACTGACTGAATGAATATTTTTAATCACTTGTTTAACAATAAAACACAAAGTAACATTTTTTGTTTAAAAAAAAAAAAAAGAAAGAAAAAAACAAAACTTTCACCTTTCAACTTTCACCCCTCATTTTGACAGTTGCAACTCTAAACTTGTGCGTTAGTGAGCTCCTGCTGGTGTGGGTTTATGACTGTTTCTGCAACTGACGCTCACAAAAGCAACTTGCGTGCTAATAGGTGCCCCTCGTGATAAATGCGTACAAGTGTGCGAGTTCCACGTCCAACTAGGGTTGGCCAATATGACAATATTTAGCATTATTGTGATAAATTACATCAATATGTCACAATGCATTTCAAAACATACTGTGGATACCATCAGTACTTAAAAGCACTTTCCAACTGCATGACTGATTATAAAGAGGGCATAATTTGTCCTGTTTAATTGGATTCAGGAATGCACAGTGTGTGAAATGTTAAATTCAAATTAATAGTTTTATTTAGCTTTTTTTTTTCTTGAATTGATTCTTCTTACAGTTCCATGACATTATAATTTCAGTATAAGCACTTCATGTAAATAAAAGAATGTTTTGTCGTTATAGCAGTTACACTCTGGAATTTAGTTAAGGGTGCCTGTGGGGAAATCATTAGGTGTAATAAGTTACAGTTCATTTGAACCATCGAGACACTTAATCTGTACAGAAAATGCTTACGGTTGCGGCGCACTCTGGGAAATCTGCAGCAGAGACAGTAGCAATTTACTGCACCGTAGGCTAATAGTTATTAATGTCCCATAATAAGTTAACTGTTTCAATGGTAAAAGGTAAATTATTACACATTCGTTACACTTTATTTGAAATGATTTAGTGAATCTTTTTGAAATAAATAAGTCCTATTTGGATGTCTATCAGTTTTCTTTCCCCAATATGACAATTATTGCCTTTGAAGCATCGGATAATCTGTCAATCATTGCCAAAACCTCATTACATGGCCCTATCACACAGGCCTTATTCCAACACACATTCAAACTTTGAAAGTGTATGTCTCAAACTATTAAAAGGTTTTGGAAAACAAGTAATACTATCTCCAAAGGGCATATAGAAAATGTGGCTGTGTATATGTTTGAGTGAATGATCGCAGATTCTCTCACCCTACTAGACCCAAGTCTGCAATGAGTCTGAGGTCCAGACGGACTTGACGGATTTGGCCTTTACTGGGTAAAAATGCAGACTGAAGAGAGCCCCCTTGACCACCTCTAGCAACCAAAACCCTTTCCCCTTCACAGTTCAGCTCTCCTACAGAGGGAAAAAAAAGGGTGAAAAACGATTAATAAACTACATCTTAGAAACAAGGAAAACACATGCTGGATAAAATACAGTGTGTGTTAAAGCACTAAAATGCAAAAAGTGGGTCAGACAAGGACTGCAAAGCACAAAGGACATTTGGTGTGCGTGTCTTTTACCCAGGACCCTTCCATCGTCTGCAGTCACAGAAATCCCAACCGGAGCAAAGATCTGTACGTCCTCTCCTCTCGCCCCTTTGAGCGCACGGACGCTGACAAAACAACAGAGCACAGATCACATCACATGCACGATCTGAACACTTCAGGGACAAAACCACACATGTAAACCAAAAATCATTGGGGAACCTTTATTTTTAAGAGTGTCACAACAGCCACACTGATTTCTCGTGCAAACAGAGACATTTAAAAACTCCCAAAGCACATTTATTAGAAAGTGAATGCTGGTTAAAAAGAACCTGATATGACTGGACACGCACCTGCTATTGGAGCCCACACCAGCGACAAAGCGCTTCTGGGGATACCTGTCCTTTATCTGCTTCAGGGTGAGGTCTTTTTTAGCCACCACCCACACGTCTCCTCCACTTCCACCCTGCCCACCCAGACGGGGTAAGCCCATGCCACCGCTCCCTCCTTTAACGTACAGCCGCAGGTTATCCACAAAGTTCCCATACTGCAAACAGAGGGAGAAGAACGAACCACAATTAGATTCATCTCATTTGTTGTAAGCATATCCACCTTAACACGGCCATGATGTACATTAGGGCTGCACAAAATGTTTGTCTGTTAATTGTTTTCGTGATATTGGCCCTTGCAAGGCTGACAAAACTTAATATGCAAATGAGCAAATGATTGTGAATGATATAGTCGCAATGCTTTCTACTGTGTGCTGTCAGCACCTTGACCAATTACAGCTCAGGGTGAGCATTTCTATAATCAAACAAGTGTAAATACTTTTTAACACAAGGTGATTTGACCTGCAATAAAACCAATTATTGATTTATTGTTGAATTATTGAAGTCAGTAAGCTTCTCTACACTGAAACATTTTACACCAAACTACTCTGAACGAAAGTGTAAACCACAAGCATTGAAATATACAGACAACAAAAAACAGAATTCCCCTTTAACTCCAGTTGATCATCAGATGGTTATTGATTAGGTGAAAATAATAACCTGTCATGTGCTCATGAGTTTCTAGATTTGAAAAATGTTCAGGCAATAAAGGATTTTGCCACCCATTCACGTAAATGTGATGATATTGCTAACATCACTAATGAATAACAGAACTGACATCTTTTTCAGTGTTTGAATATTATTCAAATGTTTTAGCAGGCCTGATCACTTGGATTTTCTACTACTAATGAAAACGAAAACACTACAAATTTCCAATGCAAGACTGACCATCTTACGGGGCCCCTAAATTGTCACTGTGAGAGAAAAAAAAATATGCGCAACGACATTGTGCTCTCTCGCAAATGTTTTGCGTTCCCTTGCAATTGTTTCTTTGAAAAAGGTTTGTGTTCCCTTGCAAAATCCACTGCATTAGCAAGGGAATTCAAAATTATGGCAAGGGAATGCAGAATCACCTCGAGTGAACTTATTGTGAGGGAAAGTACAATCAATGTGACGGAACGCAAAATTACTGCAGGGGAACGCAAAGTCATTGTGAGGGAATATAAATTTATTGTGAGGTTGTCAGGGTACATAAAATTATTGCGAGAGAACACAAAATTATTGCGAGCGAATGCAAAATTGTTGAGATTGAACATAAAATTATTGAGAGTGAACATAAATTATTGCTAGAGAACACAAAACTCTTGTGAGGAAACACAGAATCATTGCGACGGAATGCAAAATTACTGCGGGGGAACGCAAAATCATTGCAAGGGAAGGTAAAATCATTGTGGAGGAACATAAAATTATTGCGAGGTTGTGAGGGTACACAAAATTATTGCAAGTGAACGCAAAATTGTCGAGAGGAAACAAAATCATTGCGAGGGAATGCAAAATTATTGCGAGGGTACATAAAATTATTGCGAGAAAACGCAATGTCATTCCCTTTTTTAACCTACGGCCCCTTTGGGGCTCTGTACCATCCAAATGTCTCTGCAGGTTTGGACTCCAATTCTTGAGTTCTGTTTCCAGGACTGTATAAATACTGTAGCCTTACTGAGGCATGAAAACACTAAAGGAAGCGCCGTGTGACGGGACTTTATCACACAGCACCCGCTTTAATGTGTGTCGGGACTGACCGAAATCTCAGAACAAGAAGTCAGTGAAGTACATTAGTAGAAGTCCGGGTAGATAAAGAAGCTGAAGTTGAAGAAAGTATATTAATTTAGCTGACCACACTGTCCTGTCTGTAACAGCAGCCGCTGCTCTGCTGTAACGGTAGTAACCCACCTTCCGCCAGCAGGCTCTGCTAATCCAGACCATACCGAGACAAACAGCTCCAACCCGGTCAGACCTTTCAGGAATCAACGGTATAGCTGTGTTTACAGACGGACTCGACGCTGCTGCTCAGCTAAACTCAGGCCAACAGCGGCCATGTGTGCGGTGACGGAAGTGGAGAACGTCCTCTCTGTGCTGATTGGTCTAAACCGCTGCAGAGCTCGCTCTATTGGCTAAAGCCTCTGTCAGTCATGATCTGGTCCAACCCCCTTCTCACGATTGGACAACGGCCGTAGTGGATAAAGCGGTGTGCGCTGGAAGTGTGTGTAGTGAAAGGGAAACTCCACCGATTTTCCGATTTTTCAAATTTCATAATTACATTGTTAAGATGTAAGCAAAGAGTGGTTTGGTGTGAAATGCTTCGTTCTAGAGAACCTTTATGAGTTAGAATTGTTCACAGTGGTGGTGATATATATATATGAAGATGCTGCCTGATGTCTGAGACATTGTTTTACTAAAGCTTTGCAGTAAGGATTTGGCTTAAAACATATCACTGTTGTCAGAAGAAAACCTTGTATCTCCAAAATGATAACTTCACAAAAAAAGGAAAAAACCTACTTTACTTTTAATGTAAGTCAAAGGAACCAGACATTTTACCAAGTCCTTCTGGGCCGTTTCTTTTGGTCCATTCATCATGAAATTTACACACAATGTAAAGGGCAACAGGCATTTTCAAATTATGTCAAAAACTGAAAAACAGACAAAAATGGAGATACAAGGTTTTCTTCCAACAGCAGCGATATATATTCTTAAAAGCCATTCTTGGCGGAGGGGTACATATGCTGTTGTGAGGCAAAATAGTCCCTAATGAAAACATATTTTTTTCCAGATTTACCACTATGTCGTCATTATCATCAACATATAAAAATATCAGAAGACACGTGGAGGTTCACTGGTGGTTTTGGATAGTACATAAAATGGCTATATTTGTGTTATAGATATCGTGACCCCTGGTTCCATTCACCACTGTAAAGAAATCTAAGTTGGCAAGTTTCTCTACAATGAATCATTTCACATCAAACCTCTCTGAATGACTTTGTTTACATCTCAATGACTGAATTATGTCACTGTCATGTTTTCTAGAGTACAAAGCCGCTGGTTGAAATGATGGCTGTATATGCAGTAGTCAGAAATCTACCATCACATTCAGTTCGTTTCATACACTCCAGAGATGGAATAAGAAACTCTTTTAGCTTCTCGTCAGACTGCTTGGAGATACTGAGTGAAGCAGCTGGTTTAATGGGGATCCACAGATTTTTCCAAATTTCCACACAGTTCAAACATTATAATATAAACAGTCATTCGGAATGGTATGATGTGAAATTTTATTGTTTATTCTGGAGAAACTTACCACCTTGGATTTCATTGCAGTGGTGGCAGGATGCCATGTGTACAACACAAACAGAGCTTATGTATTTACTATCCAAAAGCAGTCAACCTGTACATGCTTTCTGAGTTTTTATGTGTAATGTTGGTAAAATAATGGTAATTCTGAAAAAACAAGATTTGCTAGGTTTCTTTTCTTGCATGTATCTCTTCAACATGAATGAATTAAAAACGTTTTAGGCCAAAACCTATTCTCAAAACTATCATAACACAATGATACATAACAGCAGGCAGCATATTCTTAACCACTTTGTGTAGTAACATTCTGTAAGGGAGCTTTTAGGGACATTAACCGATTCAGACGTCTGGTTTCTATCACAACAATTCTGACTTGATCAGTATTAGGCCTGCAGTAAGAGCTGGACCATATGACAATATTTATCGTTAATGTGATAAATTATATCACAAAGAGCTTTTCTAACTTTACTGTGGATATCGTCAGTACTTTAAAATCACTTCCCAACTACATGTTTGATCAAAAAGAAAGCATGATCATATTTCGTTGGATTTAGTGCAGGACAGTGTTAAATGTTGAATGAAAGTAATTGGATTCATAGTTTTTGGTTATATTTTTAAAATGTGGCACTACTTTGTCCCATGATGTCCTAACATCAGATGTCCCTAGACCCTGGAAGGATTATCCTTTTGGTCAGATTATTCCGATTGGTCGCCATGTCTTCCAAAAGCAGTCCAGCCTGAAACACTCCTTGCAACTTCAGCATGAATGGACAGTGCTAAACTGCCAAATAGGTGTATATATGTAAATGCACTGGTTTTCTTGACATCACAGACACAATGAATTCAAAACAGGCTGTTTTTTGCAGGTTAGCTTCCATACGTGAACTTTATAGACCTATTTGTTTTTTAAATTTTAGCAATATACTATATAATACCATATCAAACTCTTATTTAAAAAAGTGGGAACATTTTTTCATGATATACGAGGTTGAGACAAAATGTTATTTTAAAAAGTGTAGGTAGTCTAAGTGGGGTAAGGCTGAAATGTTGAGGACAGCCATTCTGAGCAGTAGGTTGGCTATTGCCAACAGGTGCGTAAAATCAATCATATAGCCATGCAGTCTTCTTACACAAACAATGGCAGTAAAATGGGTGCCTAAAGAGTTTGGTGACTTTTATTGTGCATTGTCATAGGATGACACCCTTCCAAAGTCAGTAAGCGTGTGAAAATTGTCTATTTATGGCTGCAACCCCCACAACTGAGTTCCAACCTGCCTCTTGAAGCAATGTCAGCACAAAAACTATTTGTCAGGAGCTTCATGGCCAATTCATGGCCAATCAGCCACAATCTGCAATGCCAAGTGTTGATGTTAAGCACAGTTACTGGACTCTGGAACAGCAAAAACGTGTTGGAGTCATGAATCACGCATCTGGCAGTCAGATGGACGAATCTGGGTTTGGGGAAGCTGCCTGTCTGAATGCATAGTGCCAACTGTAAAGTTTGGTGGAGGAGGAATAATTGTCTGGGGCTGTATTACACAGTTTGGGCTCCTTAGTCCCACGGAAGGACAATCTTAACGCATCAGTGTTAAGCAAAATGTTGTGCTTAATGCAATGTGCACAAAGCGAGTTGTATACAAAAATGGTTTGCATACAAAAAATGCTCTTGTGGCTGAAAGGAAGTGAGGCCCTGCAGCCATATTCCAACATCTAGTGGAAAGCGTGTTATAGTAGCAAAGGTGGGACCAACTTCATAGTAATGCCCATGCTTTTAGAATGAGATGTCGGGATGTCCACATACTTTTGTGTAGATTATGTGGATAGATATTTTTTTACAGTTAAAATAGACAAAATAAACTGTCTGAAAGACATAACAAAGAAATAAATGAGTGTGTCAGTAAATCATAACTACATTGCAGTGACTCTTGGCCTTTGCGACAGTATGAATGGAATACATCACTCGCGTCATCCTGTTGAAACTGCTTCGCAGGTCATTTGGTTTTGCGTTAAAGCCACTAGAGGACCGCCATACACAATGACGTTACTCAGAGCAAGGCTAAGTGAAGGTAGGAGGAGGGAGGGAGCAGTGAGGGGCTGCTGCTGGACTTAACAAGTCTGACCAAGCAGGAGGAGAGCACATACAAACACACAGACACAGAGGAGCTGCTCTTCCACTCACCGCCTCACTGGAGTACAGGTACGGCTGCTTTATGATCATTTCAGTGCCTTCACAGAACTTTTGGATTCATGAGAACACAGCCTACACTCTTAAAAAGGGGTTGTTTAGCCAAGACAGTGGTTCTATTTAGAACCATGAACACTCAAAGAACCTTTTGCATGCTTAAATGGTTCTTTGCATGGTAAAATGGATGGAGATTGTATAAAATGATGGAGAATGTCTTGTATTAAAAGGTGCTATATAGAACCTTTTGACATTGTAACAACAGAAGAACCCTTTTTGACGCTATATAGAACCACTGTCTTTACTACAGAAGCCTTGAAGAACCATCTTTTTAAAGAGTACCCAGTCCATTGACCACTATTTGGTTAACTCCAGGGCCGCCGGGAATCACGGTGGCGAGCAGGCATCTCCCCAACACTTTTCAAAGTACTGTGGCGACGCCCCACCATTTTTTGAGTTCAGGACGCACATGTACACTGCATGAAGCGCTGACCAGCATGAACAGGCAGAGTCAAAATCAGAGCCAATCAGAATCTCGATTTCGGCTGGGAGCCGCTTTCAGACCTGCCTTGGTTGGTGCGGACCTGTTGAACTTTTTCTTTGGTTTGGTTTTGCCGTGCGAAACTCTACTTGAATTCAGGCAGCACCAAACAGCTGAACCACGCTAATTCATGAGGGAATTCTAAAGACAAGCAATAAATTAATGATATGCGTTTGATTATGGATTGTGGAGCAAATTTTGGACCCAGCATCTGATCAGTTAAACTTAATTTGGCATTCACAAAGATGAAAAGTGTCTCTATTTTACGCTTTTCTGTTTTCATGGTGGTGAATGTAAGAGTAACAAAGTGCTTGCACGCCTGCAAAACTTCTGATCAATAAACAAACACACGTGTAATTTATCACAAAATCAAACTGTGGTGCGGACTTTAGAAAATTAATTGGGTATGAAAACAGCCTAAGGTTTTTAGAGATGCTAGCTAACAAATACTGCTATTTGAGGCTGCACCTACCGAAGCAGCATCAAAACTAACACTAACTCTGTTCATGATCAGGTTCAGAGGTGGGTAGATTAGTCTAAATCAATACTCAAGTAAAAGTATTGATACTTATATAAAATCATTACACAAGTAAACGTAAAAGTACTGTCTCCAAAAGAACTTGAGTAGAAATACAAAAGAAGCAGATTCAAATTCTGAAATCTCAAAGTACTGAGTAGAAGTGAAACTTCTTACTACATCCAGCATTTATCAGCATAGGAACTGAAGATTGTGCAGCTCTGTTCTCCTCTTTTTGGGATTTTTTTGGTTTAGAACACAAATTATTGCCACCATCAAAATAAGCTGAAATTAAAAACAAAGAAATGGAATTAGTAACTAAATACAATTGGCTAAAATGTGACAGAGTAATAAGATTCCTTTACTCGCCTTGGTAGAAGTAATATGATTTTAAAATTCCCAGGAAAGTAAAAATCCATTAATATTTAACTGAAGTAAACATACTTGAGGAAACAACTTGTTGAAACAATGTTTTGCCTCAGCACTTTTGGAAGTGTGGCACCACCCCTGGTTAACTCTTAAAAGTAGAGG